ATTCTGAAGAACAAAATCCAAACAAAAATCTCAGATTAAAAACTCAATTAAAAAAAAACCTCAATGGACAGAGAAACCCTGTCTCAAAAAAACAAAGCAAAACAAACAAACAATACACAATACAGTAGACCAAATAAATGAAAAAATGTCAAGGATCTAAATACTGAGAAATTATTACACTCAGACAACAATAAAGAAAAAAAGGGGGGCTGGAGATAATGGATCAGCAACTGAGAGCCCACACTGATCTTGCAGAGGACCCAAGTTCTGTTCCTAGAACATATCAGTTGGCTCACAACAGCCTCTAACTCTAGGAGTTCTGGGGAACCTGATGCCCTCTTTTGGGGGGGTGTTATTGTTTTTGTTTTTTGAGACAGGGTTTTGTCTGTGTAATAGCTCTGGCTGTCCTGGAACTCATTTTGGACACCAGGCTGGCCTCAACTCAGAGATCCACTTGCTTCTGTCTCCTGAGTGCTGGGATTCAATTTATGCACCGCCAATGCCTGGCCTGATCATCTCTTCTAGATTCTATGGACACCCAGACACATGCACATACCCAAACACATACCCATACACACAAGTAAAAATAAAAATAAATCTTTTGGAAAAAAGAGTAAGCAATCATGATCACAATTGTCAAGACCTCTGGGGCATCATTATGGTATGATAACCTATGAATTGGCCTTTAATTCCAGCACTTGGGAGGCAGAGGGAGGTGGATCTCTGTGAGTTCGAGGCCAGACTGGTCTACAAGAGCTAGTTCCAGGACAGCCTCCAAAGCCACAGAGAAACCCTGTCTCGAAAAAAAAAAAAAGACAACCCATGAATTGCCGGGTGGTGGTGGCAGTGGCCCATGCCTAGAATCCCAGCACTCAGGGGGCAGAGTCAAGTTGATCTGTTATTTTGAGGCCAGCTTAATCTATGGAGAGAGTTCCAGGACAGCCAGAGCTGGTACACAGAGAAACTCTCTTGGAAACAAAAGAAAAGAAAAAGAAACTATAAATTAATGTAATGTAATGTAATAAAGGCTCTACAACAACTCAAAAGTCAGCATTATGCCGGGCGGTGGTGGCGCATGCCTTTAATCCCAGCACTCGGGAGGCAGAGGCAGGCGGATCTCTGTGAGTTCGAGGCCGGGCTGGACCGACAGCCTCCAAAACAATACAGAGAAACCCTGTCTCGTAAAAACAAAACAAAAAAGTCAGCATTATATTTAATGGGGATATAATGAAAGTATTCTCTCTTAAATCTGAAACACAGCAAGGATTTCTACACTCACTTCTCTTCTTCAATTCAGTACTTGAACATTTATCCAGGGCAATAAGAAAAGAAAATGAAATGAAGAAAAGAAGTCACATTATGACTTCACAGACAATACCCTATATTTAGAATGCCCTAAATATTACAATAAAAGACTTTTAGAGCTGATAAACAAATTTAGCAAAATGGTAGAATATAAAGTCAACAGTCAAAAATGATAGCTTTTCTATGCACCAATAATCAATTCACAAGAAAGAAGTTAGAAATGTAAATCTTATTCACAATAATCTTCAAAACAATAAAGTACGTAGTAATAAACTTAATCAAGTGGGAGAGAGACTTCCATAATGAAAACTATAAAGCACTGTTGTTGGATTTTCCTTTACTCTAGCCCCACGATGGAATACCAAAATGTAGCTAGTTATTTTTACTCTTTGTTCTTTTGGGGACCCACCACCCAGCTCCCAAATAAATCACATGGAAGCTTATACTTTCCTATAAATGCCCAGCCTTAGCTTGGCTTATTTTTTTGCCAGCTTTCCTTAACTTAAATTTTTCCAACTACTTTTTGTCTATGAGCTTTTTTCCGTTTCTTACTTCTGCATATCTTACTTTCACTCTTACTCCATGGCTGGCTGGCTGACTGGCTGGCTGACTGGCTGGCTGGCTGACTGGCTGGCTGACTGGGTGGTTGGGTGGATGACCCCTGACATCTTCCTCTCCTTGTTCTCTTGCTCTTCCCTTCTCTTCCCAGATTTCTTCTCCTGTTTATTCTCTCTGCCTGCCAGCCCTACCTACCTTTCTCCTAACTAGCTATTGACCGTACAGTTTGGGTATGTGTTCTATAACCATCAGGTGTTACTGACAGGCAATGTAACATAGATTTACAGAGTTAAATAAATACAACATAATAGAATGCAACATAAAAGAATGCAACACATCTTTGCATCGTTAAAACAAATGTTCTACAACATAAGCAAATGTAACACCCCTTAAAATAATTTTTCACAACAAAGCACTGAAGATAAAAATCGAAGACATGCTAGATGTGGTGGCACATGCCTTTAATTTCAGCACTGGGGAGGCAAAGGTGGGCAATTTTCTGTGTATCTGAGGCCAGACTGGCCTATTGTAGTGCAAATTTTAATCAGTATTAATAATAAAAACTCAGTCACTCAAGGGGTAAAAGCTGAGAGATTAGAGAAAGTAGCATTTTCAGACTGCCTGCCTCAGACTAATTGCTGCTCAGGCTGTCCTGTGCTCCCGTCTCCTCCTGCCATCTTTCCTCTCTCTGCCCAGCCATATCCCTTTCTGTCTCCACCTCTGTAGTGCTTCAAAAGGTACTTTCTAGGAAGCAATAAGAGAAACTACAGAACAGAACATATTTCCAAATCATATGTTATGGTTCATATATGAAAGGCTCTCAAAGACCTCTAAACAGAATAATATCATTATTATACTAATATTTTATAATTATAATAGCATTAATAGCAAATGTTCAAATATTCTTCCAACTGTATCAAAAATATTTTTCTTTTTTAAAATTCATTTATTATGTATATAACATTCTGCTTGCATGTCAGAAGAGAGCATCAGATCCCACTATAGATGGTTGTGAACCAACATCTGGTTGCTAAGAACTCAGAACCTTTGGAAGACCAACCAGTCCTCTAAACCACTGAGACATCTCTCCAGTCACCCAAAATAAATTTCTTATGGTTCATTTGATCAAACTGAGACTCAAGCATGTTCCACTAGCATGCAGGAATATATACTAGGTTTCCACTAAAGAATGACTCCAGGAGCTGAATGATGGACCCTAAATTATTTTGCAGGCCCAGTGTCGAGGAGGATTTGCAAATATTGAATTAAAAGTGGCAGCAGATATGAAATGAAGCCTGAGGGAAGGAAATTATCTATAAGTAGGTCCTGGTACTCATTACTGCCTCAAGATATTCCTGTAACATAATTCCTCTGAGGGTTCCTGGATTTTTCGTTGTTATTCAAGAGATAAACATTGGTGAGATTGACAACTGAAACATTTTGTTGTTAAGCTTCATTGGAAATAGCTTGCTGCATGTTCATCCACATAAGTAATTTTTAATCTAAAAACTATTCTGTTGCCACTAAGAATTATAGATAGAAAAACCAAAACAGCCACAACAACAAAAGAATTATAGATAGGAAACCATTCTCTTCAAACCACACAGAATTTGCTATTTCTTTGCTTGGCAATGTTTACATTGGCAAAAAATGTAAGGATAAATTAAGCATTCCCACCTACACACAAATCGAGTTGGTATATATTTTGTAGCACTTAATTTTCTTTTAGGGGCTGGAGAGGAGGACTCGGGTTCAATTCCCAGCACCCACATGACAGCTCACAACTGTCTGTAATATCTGACACCTTCACAGACAGATGTGCACATAAAATTAAAAATAAATAATTTTTCTTTTTAATTTTTTAACACTGTACTTCTGATTGAGTCATCATATAAACTGCCTCTTTCTAAATTGAAATGTTTGAGACCTAATTTTTTTTAGGGTTTCAGATATAAGCAGCAATATTTTGGGGGGAAATTTAAACATTCTACAAAGGAATTCCAGGATGGAGAGAGAGAGAGAGGGAGAGAGAGAGGGAGAGAGAGGGAGAGAGAGGGAGAGAGAGGAGAGAGAGAGAGAGAGAGAGAGAGAGAGAGAGAGAGAGAGAGAGAGAGAGAGAGAGAGAGAGAGAGAGAGAGAGAGGAGTGTGTTTCCTGTTCATGCTACAGGTTGCATGTGGAGATCAGTGGATAATTTGAGGAATTCTACCTCCTTGTACACATGTGGGTGCTAGGGATGGCCCTTACCTACTGAACAATTTCTCAGGCCGGCAATTTTTACTTAACTTGCCAGGAGTTGCAGATTTTACCTTTAAAATTTTCTGCCCACACCAAAGGAGAATGTAGGAATAATATGAAATACTGTGTAAAATTTAAAAGACAAGGTTTCGAAAATAATCATGTAAACAGTATTTTAGCAAATGTTTGTCTTGTAATTTAAAAAAAGGTTGGGCATAATCCCAGGTAGAAACAGGTGGATCTTTGAATTTGAGGCCAGCCTAGTCTACAAAGCGAGTTCCAGGAGAGCCCAACAGCCAAGACTACACAAAGAAACTCCGGCTCCAAAAAAAAAAAAAAATTAAAAGAACTATATATAAGTATAGGACTCCATATGACAGGAGTGACAAGGGAAAACAAAATTTGGTTTAAAACAAACATGGTGGATATCATCGATGACGTATATACGTCGAATTAATTTCTCTTTTCTGTTAAAACATGAATGGTATCTAATCCAGCATTTTTAAAAACCGGTGCCGTTAATGTTTATTCGCAGAGAACGCTCAGAATTTCGATTTGCGTGTGCTTAGATACAGTATGGAGCCCTAACTTGGGGGTCAGTGTTCCCGCGCTCCTTCCGGCTTTCCCAAGGCGGTTATCCCGGTGTGCGCCCGAGCCTTCGGGCTGCTCGTGGCAGTGCACATGCTAGCACCCAACAGCGGTCTGGCGGCCCCTCCCACAGGGACCCGGATGTGCACGTTAGGAGGCGGGGTTTACCCATCAGGCAGTGCGCGCTGCTATATATTCTGAGCGTTCCCCGAGAACCTCATTTGGCGCTCGAAGCCTCGTCGCCGGCTGTGGTGCTTTTCGCGCTCCTCCCTTTCTGCTCGGCCTCCTCCTCGGCCTCCGCCTCCTCCCCTCCTCGTGCCCCCTCCCCCCTTCCCCCCCCTGTCCCCCCACCTCCTCCTCTTCCTCCTCCTCCTCCTCTTCTCAGCCGGCTCCCGCTCCACCTTCTCAGAGCTCCTCCGGACGTCCTGCAGAGTCGTGGGTAAGCCTCTCCGCGCCTCTCTGCCTGGGAGGCGAGGGCAGCGGCCGCGGGGCGCAACAGGGGTTTCCCGTCTGAGGAGAATTAGGGACCCGGCCGGCCGGCGGGCGGCGCGAAGCTCGGGGCCCACCATCTTGCGGCGGCCCCGGGGAGGTGAGGCGAGGGGAGGGTTTTGGGGAAGGTCGCCTGGGCAACGCGGGGCTGGTGGTGGTGGCCACGAACGGCCACCCTCTGAGGCCCGAGCTGTTCACGGGCCCCTCAGCCCGAGCTGTTCACGGCCCCTCAGGAGCCGCGCCCCGCCACATGGGCCCGAGGCGAGGCGAGGGGAGGGTTTTGGGGAAGGTCGCCAGGGCAACACGGGGCTGGTGGCGGTGGCCACGAACGGCCACCTCTGAGGCCCGAGCTGTTCACGGACCCTCAGGAGCCGCGCCCCGCCACATGGGCCGCGCGGGCTGAGGAGGCCGTTTGGCCGCCGGGCCGTTCTGCCTTGGCGCTCCCGAGACCCCCCCTCCGTCCGCTTTTTCTGTCCTTTGGGGGGGGGGTCTCTTTTGTACGGTGGCCGGCGACGGAATCCTCCCAACCGCCGCCTTGGGAACGGCTGCCGGGCCAATCCGAACTTTCGAGCCTCAGGCTCCCGCGCCCCTCTGGTTCTGCCCAACCCCTTTCCCAGGATCGCCAGCACGTTGTCTGCGCCGCTCCCCTTATTCTCCCCAAAGGGACTGCCCTCCTCTGCCTCACAAGTCTTGCTCTATTTACTTATTGTCTACACTCTAGAGGATCAAAGCCCTGAGGGCAGAGACGTGCGCTGAGATGCAAGGCTCTCCATCCTTAAGAGTGTGTGCTCGGTTTGATGAGCGACCGACAGGGCGAGCATCTCCTTCTGAGGAGGGAAACCGGCTGCTGCCTGTCCCTCGCAGTGTGCCTCAAGTGCCAATTCTTTTCAGGAAGAAGTCGTGGTGTCAACACAACCACTTTCTTCCAAATGCGGGAGACCTTGTCCAAGGACCTTTCTTTGTTTCAAAGATTTGCTTTTTTTTTTTTTTTTTTGAAATTTTTGGTTTTGTTGATTGGGGGTTGGCTTATACGTTTTAGTGTCATTAAAACTGTATTTGATACCTAAAAACAGGGGTTTTGTTTTGTTTTGGGATTTTTTTTCGTTTTGGTTTTTTGAGACAGGGTTTCTCTGTAGCTTTGCAGGCTGTCCTGGAACTCACTGTGTAGATCAGGCTTGTCTCGAACTCACAGAGATCCGCCTGCCTCTGCCTCCCGAGAGCTGATATTAAAGGCATGCTCCACGTGCACTCCACCAACGCCCGGCTTCCTAAAAAACTGTTTTAAACTACAAAATTCTCGTAGGTATTTGTAAGGTGTCTTGCTTTGAAAGTTAACTGTAAGTATAAATTCAAGCTATCTTTTTTAAAAATATACCGAAAATATTAAGCTAGATCTCTGTGATTTGCTTTAATATCTCTGCAAATGCAATTATAGCATTTTAATGTTTTACTGATATCACTTCTTTACAGGGCTGTTAAGTATTAGAGAACTGTTTTAAAGGTGAAGAAATAGCCTCAAGCATTATGTGGTCCATAAATAAAACCAGTTATGCTGTTTTTTTTCTTTTAAATTTTATTTATTTATTTATTTATACTATTTGTTTTTGTTTTTGGGGGGGTTTTTTGGTGTGTGATGTGCACACAGCAGTTTAGAGGTCAAATGACAACTTTTAGTACTAAGCAGGTTGTACTTCTGTATTTAGGAATATATGTATACATACAATATATGTGTGTGTACATATATATATATACATTCATATAAACATATCTGTATATAATGAAAAGGAAGCCACGTATTTGAAAGAGAGCAAGGAAGGATATATAGGACGGTATGGAGGAAGAAAAATGAAGAAGGAAATAGTGTAATTATAATCTCAAAAAATCAATAATTTAGCCAGGCAGTAGTGGTGCATGCTTTTAATCCCAGCACTGAGAAGGCAGAGGCAAGCAGATCTCTGATTTCAAGACCAGCCTGGTCTACAGAGCGCCAGGAGAGCCAGAGCTGCTATACAGGGAAGCCCTGTCCCAGAACAAACAAATAAGTAAATACAAATTTAAGAGACAGGGTTTCTCTGTCTATCCCTGGCTATCCTGACCAGGCTGGCTTCAAACTCAGTGATTCACCTGCCTTTGTTTCAGGACTGCTGGGATTATGTTTGTAAGGCATATCCAACTATGGTATCAAAGCATGGATAAATTACTTTAAAAATGTTAGTATGCATGAGTCTCCTTTGTTTCTTTAAATTTGGTATTGCCTTATTTGTCAGGTTTTTTAGCCTGAAGATTAGTGCCTGCTTTATATCAAAAGAGGAAGAAAAATGTGTTTTTCCCTCTGATGTTGACCATGTAATGTATAATTAAGGTGCATTAAAAATAGTGTAATTTTTATTTGTCATATTAAATCTTGCATTTCTTGATAATAGACTGAATTAATAAGTGGTAGAAGAAAAACGTTGAATGTAAAATTGAAAAACTGAATTATACTTAGTTTAACTTAGAAAATCCCAAGTAATATTTTGGGGCATAAATTAAAAATGAAGGGTGTCAATTCATAATATTGGTTACATTTGGGAGGATGAAAGGTTTTATATTTCAGGGGCATAGGAGAACTATCAAATATTTTAAAATATTATGCTAAGAAATAATTTGTGAGCTCAGAGTGTGACTCGGTAGCAGACACTTATCTCTAGCATGCATAGGCTGTGTGTTCAATCCCCAGCACTGCAAAAAAATTGTCATACATGCATAGGAGGCGAAATTTAAAATTCTGGGAAAAGGTATCAGTTTGTTGGGGCTTTTCTTTTGCCATGCCAATCCCAAATTACTGTTTTCAAGTACTGTTATTCAAGGCTATTCTAAAGATGGTGCCTCAAGGATTCCATATCTGCCTCCTGAGTGCTGGTATAACAGTTGACTGCCACATATGCTCAGCTTTTTCCCTCTCCTTAAAATAATTATTTTTTATTTTATGTATATGGATGTTTACCTGCATGTTATATCTGCATACTACATGCATACCTGTTGTCTTTGGGAACCAGTGAACTACAGTTACAGATGGTTGTGAGCACCATGTGGGTGCTGGGAATTGAGCCCAAGACCTCTGGAAGAGCAGCGATTTTTGTTTTGTTTTTTGTTGTTTTGTTTGAGAATGGTCCTTGGTTAGCCTGAAACTCACTGTGTAGGTCTAGTTTTTCTTCAACTCAAACAGAGCTGCCTGCCCCTGAGTGCTGGGACTAAAGGTGTGCACTACCATGCCTAGCTCATAACCATATTTCAAGAGTGTGGCACTAAGCTAGCATGATAGCACATACTTGTAAACCTAGCACTCAGACTGAGGCAGGACAGTTGTGAGATTTGGACCAGTTTGAAGCTATATAATGAGTTCCAGGACAGGTCAGCCCAGAAAAATCCCTGTCACTGGTTGTTCTTCCAGAGGACCTCAATTTAGTTCCCAGAACCCACACAGCTGCCAAAACACTCCAGTTCCAGATGATCCTACGTCTTCTTCTAGCTTCTGCAGGAATTGCATGCATGTGGTGCACAGACATACATATAAACAAAACATCTATATATTTAAAGCAAAAATCTCAAAAAGAAAATTTTGGCCACTGTAACTCAACTGCTGTTGTACTCAATCTTCTAGCTACTTAGCCAGTTTTTACTAACTTTGTTTTGAGATAGGACTTCGTTGTGTAGATCATCCTGGCCTCAAAAAACACTAGTCTGTTATTTTAACCTCCTGAATGAATGGTAGGTAGGGCTTCAGGGGTACACCACTACACTGAGCTCCTAGTTTAAATATTACTGATTGTTTTCTCAGTTTATTCTTCCTATGAAATATGTGGTTATTCAGTAGTTTCCCTTGGAATTATTAATGTTTAACTTTAATTAGCATACTTCCTATTACAAAAAAGTATTTTTACTTTTGAAGATAAAGGTTATTTCTCTTCTTTTGGAAATTAGATAATTCAAAAATGGCAGAACTTTTTATGGAATGTGAAGAAGAAGAGTTGGAACCATGGCAGCAGAAAGTAGAAGAAATTCAAAAAAAAGATGACGATGATGAGTTGATCTTTGTGGGAGAGATAGCAAGTTCCAAACCAGCCATTTCAAGTAAGTATTTACTTTTTTGAGTGGGAAAAACCTGTGACTGTTTTATATTCGGTACTTGATGTATTTGTTCTGTTCAAATGAAAGACTTGTATGAAAAATCAAGGTTGGTGATACCACCAGAAGTTGTCTTATTGTACAGGATTGGTTTAGTTATCCTGGACTTCTTGTGTTTCCATATGAAGTTGAAAATTATCCTCTCAAGATCTGTGAAGAATTGTGTTGGAATTTTGATGGGGATTGCATTGAATCTGTACATTGATTTTGGTAGTATGGCCATTTTTACTATGTTAATCCTACTGATCCGCGAGAGTGGAGATCTTTCCGTCTCATATCTCCCTCAGTTTCTTTCTTCGGTGCCTTAACATTTTTATCATACAAGTCTTTCATTTGTTTGGCTACAGTTACTCCAATATCTTTTATATTATTTGAGGCTATTTCCTGATTGCTTTCTCAGAGCATTTGTCATTTATGTATAGGAGGGCTACTGATTTTTGTGAATTAATTTGTATTCAGCTTTTTTGCTGAAGCATTCAGCTGTAGGAGTTTCCCAGTGAAATTTTTATGGTCACTTGTACATATACTATTATATCATCTGCAAATAAAGATACTTTGACTTCTTTCTTTCAGATTTGTATCCCTTTGATCTCCTTTAGTTGTCTTATTATTCTAAGACATCAAGTACTATATTGAATAAAAATGGAGAGAGTAGACAGCCTTATCTTGTTTCTGATTTTAGTGGAATTGCTTTGAGTTTCTCCCTATTTAAATACTGCTCCTATTTCACTAGGGGTTATAGATCTGTTTAAATTGCTTATCTGATATTGATTTGACTTTGGTAAGTGGTATCTGTTAAGAAAATTATCGATTTCTTTTAGATTTTCCAATATGGTAGAATATAGATTTTAAAGTATGTCCTTATGATACTCTTGATTTCCTCAATGTCTGTTATGTTTCCCTTTTCATTTATAATTTGGTTAGTTGAGATATTCTCTCTACCTTTTAGTTACTTTGAATATGGGTTTGTCAATCTTATTTTTCTCAAAGAACTGTATGCTTCATTGATTCTGCAGTTTTTTGTTTCTATTTATTGATTTCAGCCCTGAGTTGATTATTTCTTGCCTGCTATCTTGCTTTTGGGTGTAATTTCTTTTAGAGCTTTTCTGGTATGCTGGTAAGTGACTGGTATGAACTCTCCATTTTTCAATGTAGGGACTTAGTGCTATGAAATTGCTCTTAGAACTACTTTCAGTCTGTCCTATGAGTTTGGGCATATTGTGTATCCTTTTTTGTTCAATTCTAAAAACTTTCATTTGTCTTCACCCATTTTTCCATTCAGTAGTGAGGTGTTCAGTTTCCATGAGTTTTTAAGCTTTTTGTTTTTCTTATATCCAGCTTTAATCCATGTTGATCAGATAGAATGCTGAGTGTTATTTCAATTTTTTTGTACCTTTTGAGACTTGCTTATGCAAGTTGTAGTGTTTCTTTTATGAACTTGACACCTGCGTTTGATGCATAAATATTGAGAATTGCAATGTCCTCAGTGGAATTTTTTCCTTTAATGATTATGCAGTGCCCTTCCCTATCACTTCTGATTAACTTTGGTTTGAAGTCTATTTTGTCAGATATTAAAATGGCTATACCAGCTTGCTTCTTAATTCCATTTGCTTTGAATACCTTCTTCCATTCTTTTACCACAGGTGATGTCTTTTCTTGATGTTATTGTGTGTTTCTTGGATGCAGCAGAAGCATGCATTTTCCTATTTTTACATCTATTCTGCTAGTCTGTGCCTTTTTATTGGGGAATTGAGACCATTGATGTTGAAAGATATCAATGAACAGTGTTTGTTGATTTCTGTTATTTTATTGATGGTGTGTATTGCGTGTATTCTCTTTTGATTTGATGATCTGGGATTACTTATTCTTTGTGTTTACTTGGGTGTGGTTAACCTTTTTAGGTTGGAGTTTTCCTTATAGTACCTCCTGTAGGGCTAGATTTGTAGGTAGATATTGCTTAAATTTGGATTTATCGTGCAGTGTCTTATTTTAGTCCATCTATTTGATTGATGGTTTTGCTGGGTATAGTAGTTTGGACTGGCATCTGTAGTCTCTTAGAGTCCGTAGAACATCTGTCCAGGGTCTTCTTGCTCTTAGAGTCTCCATTGAGCAGTCAGGTGTCATTCTAATACATCTGCCTTTATTTGTTACTTGGTCTTTTCCATTGCAGCAATTTAATATTCTTTGTTCTCTACATTTAATGTTTTGATTATTATGTGCCAAAGGGAATTTCTTTACTGGCCCAGTCTACTTGTGTTCTGTATGCTTCTTGTACCTTGATAGACATCTCCTTCTTTAGGTTAGTGAAATTTCCACCCATGATTTTGTTGAAAATATGTTTCTAGATATTGGGATCTGACACTTAGGAATGGGGATGGACAAAGCGAATAGCAGGGGGATCCCACAGGAGGGATAAAAGCAGGTCATACCACCAGGTTCTGTTTAATTCCCCGGGAATTGTGGCAGAGAATGCATAGATACCTGTGTAGAGTCCCTCAGGTATCTGATACAGAGCTGGGGATAAGACTCTGGGGCATTCAACTTGGAAGAATGGAGGGAGAGGTGAAAATTTACAGCTAGCCCATCTTCCCTGGACATAGTGCCCCCCACACCAGTTTTTATAAAGAATTTAAGTATCCTATTTGTTAATATTTGTCTTTTCTCATTTTAGTTCAGATGTGGAGAAAAGGAAGTATTTGGAATGCTTAGGTTGCTTGTATCTAATAAGGATTCTCATATCCAGACAACTGCTTCATCATTTATACAGTTTTATCAGAGTTAGAAAACTTGTAATTCCAGAAATATTGAGAGTTCAAAGCCAGTCTGAGCTATATCCTGAGACCCTGGCTCAAAAATCAAAGTAGCTAAAAAATTAGCATATCAAATAATTTGAGAAAAGGGGTTTTTCTCTATATTTCCAACATGTTTTCATAGAACAGTGGTTCTTAATTTTCCTAATTTTGTGACATTTTAATACAGTCCCTCATTATGTTGCCTCTAACCTTAAAATTATTTCAGTGTTACTTAAAATTATAATATTGCTACTTTTATGAATCATAATGTAAATATCTAATATGTAGGATATATGGTATATGACCCCTAAAGTGGTCATGACCCACAGGTTGAGAACCATTGTAATAGAATATTTCATTTCCATAAGCCTATAGCAACTCTAATTTATGTTACTTTTTACTAATTCTTTGTATGAAGAAATTAAAAAAAGTTTTTTTGTACTTTTATAGAATATTTTTGTTCTTTTTACCTGTGTTAGCTTCAGAGAGGGAACCTCAGTTGAGAAAATGCCCACGCCAGATAGGCCTATAAGCAAACCTGTGTGGTGCATTTTCTTGACTGATGATTTATGTGGATGTCACGCCTGGGTGGTATAAGAAAGCAGCAGACCGAGCAAACCGGGAGGAGCAAGCCAGAAAACAGCATACCTCCAAGGCCTCTCTTGTCAGTTGTTGCCTCCAGGTTCCTGCCCTGACTTTCGTCAATGATGAAGTACAAGTTGCAAGATGAAATAAACCCTTCCCTCTCCGAGTTACTTTTGGTCATGGTGTTTTATCAATAGCAATAGAAACCATAACTTAGATATTACCTTCTTGTGATATGAAATTTTAACCAAATTTTAAAATTCTAAATTTAAATATGATTCCTTAATAATCAGAAAATTACATTCAGACAGGGGCAAGAGAGAACAGTCTGAAATGATCTAGAGTATCCTGTCAGGCCCAAACTGACTTCTAGGGTAGTGTATTCAACTCCTTAAACTAATGATATACTAAAATCTAGGTTTAACTTAATCTGTTATCTGATAATTTTCCTTTCAGAGCTCAAGTAATGATACTGAGAACCATGAGAGAAGCACTCCAATCAGCTGGTCCATAATGGAACTTCCAGATATCTAGGGGTGTGAAATGTGGCATGAGAATCGGACATGGGCTTGATTTTTGAGTAATAAGAACTTGAGTCATAAAATCTTGTCACCATTAAGGGGAATAAATATATTTCTATCATTGATTGTGTATGTCTATTTTTAGACAGTTTTCTATTATCTTAATACATATCATTTTAGTAATGAGTTTTTAAATATTCTTGCAGATATTTTGAACAGATGTAGTCCTGGCTCATCTTCAAAGGGACTAAAGAATGACTCATTCAATCCAGGTACATTATTAACATACTATCTTAATACTATATATTTGTTTATTTAATTTTTTTATTCATGTATATGTATTTGTCCCTTTGTGAGGTTTTATGTTCTATGTATGTACAGGTGCCCATGAAGGGCAGAAGGGGGCATTGAATCCCTTGAAACTGGAATTAATACGTGTTTTTTAAACACCTGATGTAGTTGCTGAGAACTGAACATGGTCCACTGTAAGAGCAGTGGATGTGCTTAATGGCTAAGCCCTGACTATTTTAATTTTAAACTCAACTATTTGACACAATTGTATGCCAATATATTCATTATATTTTTGTTTATATATATATATATATAGATAATTCTAAACCTACAAGTCAACAGTACAGAAATCCATCACCTAATCCAGTGGCTACTTTGCCTGAATTTCATCCTGAATCCAAATCTTCAGAGAGTTCTGGTTTTCAGACTGTTTCTAAACCTGTAAGTATTTTTCAACTTCACAGTTATTCAGGAGCACAGTGGATAGTATTTATCCAGCTAGAATTAAGAATGGTCATAGCTAATTATCATAATTACTCAAAGAAAATGTCATTATCTTTAGGTTTTCTTATTTGTTTTTTCCAGACAGGGTCTCACTATGTAACTCTGACTGTCCTGGAAATCACTATGTAGGCCAGGCTGACCTCAAACTCAGATATAGCCACCAGACTCAGCTTCATTTTAAAACTAAAATCATTTCATTGTGTTAAGAACACTATTATGCTGACACAATTATGTAGCAATAAAGTGAATATATTGTGCTTTTTTGTTATTGTTTTTTGAGACAGGATTTCTCTATATTGCTTTGGAGGTTGTCCTGGAACTTGCTCTGTAGACCAGGCTGGCCTTGCCTGCCTCTGCCTCCTGAGTGTTGGGATTAAAGGCATGTGCCACCAACGCCCGGTTGAATATATTGTGATTTTTATATACAGCCTTTCCTGATATATTAAAATCAACACTACAAATCCAATGGCTACCTTACCTAGAATTTTTTTTTGTACCAAAGTCTTGCCTCTCCCCCTTTGCCCTTCCCAGACCCAATAACCCATATTGTACTCCTGGTACTTGACAAAGAGGCAAAAAAAAAACCCCACACTGGAGAAAAGACAGCATCTTCAACCAATGGTTCTGGAAAACTGGGTGTCCACATGTAGATAATTGAAATTAGACCCATGTCTATCACCATGCACAAAAAAATGAACTCAAAGTGGATCGAAGACCTCAATTTACAACATGAATCATGGAAACTGCCAGAAGAGAACATAGGCAGTAGCCTGTGTGGTATAGGTATAGGAAAGGACTTTCAGGATTGACAAGGGGGATCTCCTAAAATTAAAAAGCTTCTGTACAGCTCAAGAAACAATCAAGTAAAGAGGAAACAGGAAATCAACTTTTTAAGAGAGTAAACTTAGGCATTCTTAATTGGGACGATTATTCACAAATCATGACTATTCTCAAACCCTTTGTTTAGTTCTTAAACATTTTTTAAGCCAGCGTGGTTGTTAACATGCCTGTAGTCCTAGTACTTGGGAAGCTGGGGGCAAGAGAATTGTGAGTTTGAGACCACTCTCCTAATAATAAGTTCCAGACTAGACTGGACTACATAGTGTGACTGTGTCTCACAAAATAAAATAGCCCCCCAATAGAGCAATAACAAAAACTATTAATAGAAATAAAAAATAGCGGTAATATTTAACATTTGAAGGGAAGCTGTTAACATGTTCAAATGTAAATCTTACATAATTCCTATGAAGGAGACTATTATTCCCAATTTATGGTTGAGGAGGCTGGAATTCAGAGAACCTAAATGATTCTCCGAAGGCCAACTCTTAACTAATAGACATGGGATTTCAAACCAAATTAATCCAGAGGTTTATATACATATCTGACCATATGTTTAAGTATATACTTTTAAAAAAGGCATGAGGTACCACTACATGACAGTTTTAGGTCCTTTCAATAGCTGTCTCCATATTTCATATGTCTATGTGCTGTGCATGAATGTACACCATGTTATGTGTTTTTTTATACCTACAAAAGCTGAAAAGTGTGTCAGATCCCCTGAAAGTAGAGTTGTATTCAGTTGTAGGTCTCTCTGTGGGTTCTAAGAACTGAGCCCAGGTACCCTGCAAGAGCAGCAAGTACTCTTATCCACTGAGACATCATCTCTCCAGTCTCTATCTCTTTAACTTCCTAAAAAACTGATGAAAATTTAGTAACAAGGCCAGTCATGTTGGCATATGGTTGTTACTAACACTCAGGAGGCTGAGGCAGGAGCATGAAGAGACCAGTCTGTTCTTCGTAGTCAGTAACAGGCTATGCAAGGTCATATTGGGAAACCCTGTTCCATTTCCTTTCCCTCAATTAAAAAGAGAACATCTAGTAAGAAAGTAAAATTCTTACAACCTAATCATCTCCCAACTTTAAACCTTAAGACAAGCAAACAAAATCTTTGTATTCCTATTGTAAAAGTTATATATGAGAAGGATTAAAAATAAGGAATTATATTTTATTATTTTTACTTTTATTTTCTGTAGATAGTATAGTCTGTTCATTCAGGGCCATATTTACACAGATTTGACACCTTTTCCTCATTTTTCAAACTATCTCTGGTTGAATTCACAGGTTTTCATATTTTCCTATTACAAACACTCTGTTAACATTTTCATTTCCCTAATACAAACTCTTAGAAATGGAATGATTATATCAAAGGATATGGAGTTTTGAAAGCCTTTAGTAACATACTGATGTTCTTGCAGAGAAGTTATACCAAAATTGAAGCCTTGCCAGTGTTGTCACTGTTTTTTTTATTTTAACATTTCATTTACAACTAATTTTAGTTTTCCAGAAAAATTACAAAAATAATGAATGCCATTATACTTTTGTGTTTTCTAACTTGTCTTTGTATTACTAGCATACAGTTTAGTTTACTTTTCTAATAATTAACAAAATAACTTTTAACGTTTTGCAGAGTTTTTCAATGACTTCATCACAAGATGATCCAGGTACTTCTTCTGTGTTACAATTAGACTCAACCAACGATACACCATCCTCCAGCATACTGAAAAAGAGTACAGAAGGTTTGATTTAGTATTGCTTAACTTTGTTAGTGTTCATATGGAATCTCTGTGCAAGGGTCTGAAGATGGCTGATCTCAAACTCAAAGATTCCCCTGCTTCTGCCTCCTGAGTGCTGGGATTAAAGACGTCACCACCATACCTAGCTGAGTTTATTCTCATTTAAAACTACCTGTAAGCTGTGAAATCTTAATATCATTTCTGTGAGTCAGAGAAGTCGCCTGATTACTTAAATACTCCATAACAAGCAATTTATTATTTGGAGACCATTAATTTATAAAATTGCATGGCTTTACTGTATTTCCCAGTAAACTTTCTCTATAATAAATCGCACACATATATATGTGAGATAGTTAAATGTGATAACAGGGTGGTATTATAAAATGACAAGACTAAAGCGATAATGATTCGCACATGATCAGTACCTAGTACATATCCATTGAAGGAACAGAAATTGGACAATTGAAAGAAATTCATTAAAAAATTTTTACCATGACAAAATTCTTCATGGATGTAAAGTAAATTAATATGATAGTGGAAGACTGATGTTAGATAAAAAATAAATTACCTATAATGGAATAAAGTAACTTCTCTAGTGTAGTATATGCCACCAGTGCTAGTTCACCCACAAAGCAAGATGCTACTACAGTCTAGTAGCTAATTTGATATACTTCACTAGATAGGAACATAATTATCATTTGAATTTTTATTTACTAATAAGTAGTATATTACATTTGTCAAACCAAAGGAAAAGTTGTATAGTGATTTGAATGTCCAAAATATTTTCTCACTTTGCTAAATACTTCAGTTGATATTAACCTATATCCAATTAGCAAAATAACCAAAAACCAAAATGGATAGGGAAATAAAATAGTTGTCTTAATTTTTATTTTACCAAGCCCATGGTCTCATTCCTAAAACAAGTCTCAATTTGTGAAGTTTGTTGAAGTTAAAGACAGTAACTCCTCATTATTTAAAAATTTTCCATTGAGTGTGGTGGCACATGCATGATGGTTTTTGAGACAGGGTTTCTCTGCAGCATTGAAGGTTGTCCTGGAACTCGCTCGGTAAACCAGGCTGGCCTCAAACTCACAGAGATCCCTCTTTCTCTGCCTTTCAAGTAACAAAAGTTTTTTCAAATATAGAGAAGAGAGCTTTGTCCTGAATAGTAAACACTGTTAAAGTTGGATTAAAAGATTCAAGTTTAAACCCTCTGTTTTACAGATTTGTGTAGGCTTTATCAAGTCACCCTTTTTTTTTTTGGTTTTTTGAGACAGGGTTTCTCTGTATTGTTTTGGAGGCTGCCCTGGAACTCGCTCTGTAGACCACGCTGGCCTCAAACTCAGAGATCCACCTGCCTCTGCTTCCCAAGTGCTGGGATTAAAGGTGTGTGCCACCAACACCCGGCTCACCTAACTTCTTACATTTTACTTTTCTCACATTATTAAATATAGTTTTATTAGTGCATTCATTCTCTAGACCTAATGTGAGCCATTTGGAGATAATGTTACTCATCTTAGTATTTTATTGAGTTTGCCAAAGTAAGAAAAGGGAAAGCTGTTTTGTAAACTTTGAATGATTTATTAAAGTTTATAATAATAATAATTATTAATCTGTGATGTTTGAAAGCACATCTTGTCTAGGATGACCATGGAAGGTTCTTAGAGAAAATTACATTTGAGTTTGAATTTAAAGAAGGGAAATAGAATTTTTTGTTTGTTTTCAACACAGGGTTTCTCTGTAGCTTTGGAGACTGTCATGGAACTCACTATGTAGACCAGGCTGACCTTGAACTCACAGAGATCCACCTGCCTCTGCCTTCCAAGTGCAGGGATTAAAGATATGCACCACCACCACCTAGTGGGTAATAGACTTTTTTATTTGGTTTTTCAAGACAGGGTTTCTCTGTGGCTTTGGAGGCTGTCCTGGAACTAACTCTTGTAGACCAGGCTGGTCTCAAACTCACAGAGATCTACCTGCCTCTGCCTCCCAAGTACTGGGATTACAGTTGTGTGCCACCACTGCCCCGCTGGGAAATATAATTTTTTATTTTTTATTTTTTGGTTTTTTCGAGGCAGGGTTTCTCTGTATTGTTTTGGAGCCTGTCCTGGAACTCGCTCGGTAGACCAGGCTGGTCTCGAACTCACAGAGATCCACCTGCCTCTGCCTTCCAAGTGCTGGGATTAAAGGCGTGCACCACCAACGTCCGGCAGAAATATAATTTTTATGAGAGTAAGAGTTTTGTTTTTTAACCAGACATGATGGTCCATGTCTTTATTCCCAGCAGAGATATACATATTTCTATGAGTCCAAGACCAGTATGGTTTACACAACAAAGTTCAGGACAGCCGGAACTACGAAGTGAGACTTCCATTGCAAAAATTAATAATTTTGAGAGACTCTTTTTGATAAATTTATTCTTTGACAATTTAACACAGGTATGCAATGCATTCTGGCCACACTCACTCCCCCCACCTCATACCTGTCCCACTCCCACCAAACCCCTAGTCCTCTAACCAAGTCCCCATCCCACTTTCTGTCTTTTTGTTTTGTTTTTGCTTTTGCTGTGTGACCCACTGTATTTAACTACGGCTACCTGCTCATTTTTATTTGTGTAAATAGGAAGACTTAAAAGTAGCAAATAGCAAAGATCAGAGCAGTAAAAATTAATAACTTGAAGCTGGGTATTGGTGGCATACGCTTTTAATCCCAGTACTCAGGAGGCAGAGGCAGGCGGATCTCTGTGAGTTCGAGACCAGCCTGGTCTACCCAGCGAGTTCCAGGACAGACTGGGTAGACATTACAGAGAAACTCTGTCTCAAAAACCAAACTAATAATAATAACTTGAAGGATCCGTATCTTAAACTCTATCTCAGAGTGGTTTTCTTTAATTTAGATTTTCCTGTGCTTCAAGTTATATATTAGGAAGCTGGTGAGATGGTTCAGCAGTTAAGAGCACTTGCTACTCTTCTGAAGGACCTGAGCTTGGTTCCCTGCTACCATGTCATATCAGGTGGCTCCCAACCACCTGGAGCTCCAGCTCTGCAGGCATGCATGTAACATACATTCACAGAAATGCACAAACAGCAGCTCCAGGACATCTGACAATTTCTTCTGGTTCTGCAGGCATGCACAGAGATGCACAAACACATGTACATAAATATAATAAAAGTAAATCCTTAAAAGTTATATTAAAGTGGACTATTTTTATTAACTAGCATATTGTATAATGTTACCTAGTGCAAAATGCCAAAATTTATTGATTATTCAAGTGACACAGGTATCTTAAAACAAAAAGTAACAAAATCAAAGTCAGTCTCAACTGCTGGCAGTAATCACTCAGTAACCATAGCCTCTAATGATAGGAAAAAGAATTCTGTCATTGCAAGGAATGAAACAGCATAAATACTTCAGAAATGTCTACTGCTTCTCCTGTGAATGTACACTTGAGAGCATTAAACTGTGTGGTTCTTTAGAGACTTTGTCACAGAGTACAATTTATTTTGGATTATTTTTATAATATCACTTTTTTTCTGGATATGTACCTGTTTCTCAAACAGATGCCATGGATTATCTATCTAATCCTTTGTATGTTAAGATGATGGTTTTCAAACACAACTATTTCTCCCAAGGAAATCTCTATTTAATTGCAAAAGTCAGATAAGACATAAAAGCAAAGGCTCTATCTGAAATGCCCATAGTATTTAATTAACTCAGGATAGTAGTTGGAAGGTCATTGTAGAAATTCTAGATTTTTTCATATGGATGGCTGAAGCGTTTTTGTTTTCACTTTCTACATAAGGAACAACCAAATAATGTAAACAACTTGTCAGATTATTAGTTGGGAGAAGATCAAATTCAACTTTAATTGGATAGCTCAAATTTTAAAAACACCTTTAAAGAATTCTCCTGAGGTGGGCTGTGTATCACACACCTTTAATCCCAGCACTCAGGAGGCAGAGGCAGGCATATCTCTGTGAGTTTGAGAGCACCCTGGTCTACAAGAGCTAGTTGCAGGACAGCCTCTAAAGCCACAGAGAAACACTATCACAAAAAAACAAAAAATTCTACTGAAATTTAGAATGAGTGTTTTTTACATTTGAATGCATTTAGTCACTAAAACATAAATTAATTTTAAGAACTTAGCTAAGAGAAAGTAATCTATCTACCTTTTTCTCTCTTTTTTGTTATATTATTGTTATTATTACTTTGGGTTTTGTGGGATTTATGCTTTTCATTTTTATTCAGCCTGCTTTTAATGGATAGCTTTATTTGAAAGTTTCTCTTACATAAAGTTTATTTTGTGAATCTGAAATATATGTGATCCATAGCAGTTGCTTCCTTGTATAGTTTCTGCTTTTGACTATATAATTTTTTTTTCATTTAAGTTAGCTCCAAGGTGTTTTTAATAAATTTTAAATCTAAGGCCATTTTATAGCAAGTTACATAAGTAATATTCTATACAAAACATTTTAAATATCTTCCATGATGTTCAAATCTTTGTAGGTATCGATCAAACTTCATTAGGATTAAAACATCCTTCCACTTCCAAAGTAAGCAGTGTTAATCCAAAAAAGCCAAAGACCAATGAAAGTGTTTCTGAAACAAGTCCTTCTGAGACTTTCTCCCAGGTGGTAGTATCAAGTAAGTATGAAATCTCACTTAGAAAAATGTATTAGTTAGGAACAAATTTTAAAATTGTGATGATTTTTTAAAGATGTTTAAGTTTTTAATAGATTGATTTTTGCTAATAAAAGTCCTCAATTTATTTTAGATGAAAATACCTCATCATTTCACTCTAAAACTGGAGCACCTTCACTAACATCTTGTCCAAAGTGCAATGTTAAGTTCAGTTATTTGGATCCTTTGAAATGCCACATGAAGGTAAAATAATTTCAAATTTTGAGTTTTGAAAATGTTTATAAATCCATGAAATATTAAGAATAATAGTAAATTTTTGTTTGTCTAGTTATTTAAATAATAAAGCTTTTATTGTCATTTTCATATGAGTAAAAAATGAATTTTCATAGTGATTATATAAAATTTAAATTATTCCAAATCATGAAATTATAAAATTTTAGTTCATCATATATATACTATAGTATATGATCATGCATACTCCAAAGTATGGGTGCATTGCATTTTAATTTTAATTGAAAATTAGTAAACTAATATTTTATTGACTAAATCATACCATTCTTTATACTTCTCATAAAGCAGGCATTTTGTTAATCTTCAATATTACCTAAAATTTCCTTATATTTTACTTGTTTCCATGTTCTCATATTCATTTAATATTTCTCAGTGGAAATCTTAGTTTTATGTCTTATTTTTCCATAATTTCCTAATGTAGCATTTCTTATAAAATGATAGTTTTACCTCGATCCAGGCTAGGATATATAGAGTTATAAATGAATTATACTTTTATGCACTTTTTAGCTCCTGAACTTGGATTTTAGATAGATTTGAAGCTACTAAAAATGTATGGGATTTCTACTTAAAGTGTGTTACTAGATGATATAGTATTCCATTGAATCTTTGTAAAGATAGTCTTCTCTTTGCCTGTCCAGAGAAACAGTAAGATAAGTAAGATAGAAAATATGTGGAAAGAAGGGTAGAGATAATATTCTGCTCATTGTTCCAAAGACAGATTTTTATCAAACCCCACATCTTGGAAAAAAGTAGAGAAGTAAGAATGAGTTCTCAAAATTTCAAATACAAATATCTGTTCTAGGAGCAAAACTGATGTTGTGTTAGTCCATCTACCTCCCTGAGCATGTGAGAATAATAATCCAGTCTCACATCAGCAGTACTTTCTTTGATATTTGACAATTCTACTTTGTATTCTCTTTAGGATATAATTCTCTATCTTTCTCTCATAACTTCTCTGACATTTTAAATAAGTATCCTTTTGCCTTGTTTAATGCATTTTGTCCTAAATTCCATTTAATTGATTTATCTAATCATTTACTTATTCCTTATTTTTATGTGTGTATGTCTGTGCACATTGTTGTGTTTGAGTGTAAGTGTACACATGTGGAGGTCAGAGAATACAACCTCAGGTGTTAGTCATTGCTTTCCACTTTGTTTGAGACAAGGTCTCTTTGTTGGTGGTAGCTGTGTGTGCCAAATTCTCATATCTCTGCCTCCCATCTCTCTGTAGTAACAGGAGGATTGTAGACATGTGTTACTGTGGCCTTTCTGGGTCCTGAAGATCCAAAGTCAGGTTCTCACCCATGTATTGACAATTCTTTACCCACTGAAGCATTTCCCCAGCCCTCATAATTCTTATTTTCTTGTTTCCATTTGCTTGCTAAATTCTTCTATTTATTGGTTTATTCATTTTTTGAGACAGGGTCCCTATAGGAGCCCTGTCTATTCTGGAATTTGTTATGTAGACCATACTAGCCTTGAACTCAGATTCACCTGCCTGTCTCCCGAATGCTGGGTTTAAAGGCATGCACCACCTCACCCAGCTGCTTGCTGTATTATTTTATCCTTTTATTTTCAATATTTCCAAAGCCCTTTAATGTGTATTGCTATTTCTTTCTAACCATATTTGAAAACTCCTTTGCTTTCAGGAGTTTAGTTAAACCTATTTGCGGTCATTGATGTAAAAGATGTACCGTTTTCAGCCTTGATGCTGGAAGGAAGGACTTGGTCAGGCCTCAATTTGATATGCCAGGCTTAGTTGAGACTCCCCATGAGAGCGAGGCCTTACCCTCTCTGAGGAGTAGATGGCAAATACAGAGAGGGGAGAGAGGGAGTGTAACGTGTTGTCTTCCCACCAGCCGCTATGCTATATTAATTATAAGCTGTTGGCTGTTTGCTTGGTTTCTTACTGGCTAGCTCTGACTTAAGTATTTAACCCATAATTGCTAATCCATGTGTCCTTCTCTTACCGGAGGAAGTGTCCAGGCATGTTACTTCTCCCACATCCTACATCATGACTCACTGTGCCTCTGTTTTCCAGAATTTTCCTTGGCTCCTATTCCCATTTATCTTGCATCCCTATTGGCCAACAGTGCTTTATTTAATCAACCAATAAGACAACATATACACAGAAGAACTTTCCCCATCAAGGGGGAACTGTGGTTGGTATGTAAAATAAATAGAAAGTTTAAAAGAAAAAAGATTTAACTGGTAGTATAGGTATGTGGACATAAGTGAAACCATAAGCATACACCACTTTCAGAAACTTCCACCTGTCCGTTTTGCATTTTCTGTGATAACAACATAAAATCTATCCTCTTAAGAAATTTTTAAACTTTCATTTCAGTGTTATCAGCTATGCATGTTAATGTTGTACAGTAAATCTTTAGGGCCTATTTATCTTGAATAACTAAACCATATATCCATTTAGTAATAGTACTCTGTTTGCCACTTCCCCAGATTGTGGCACTCAGCATTCTACTCTCTGTATTATTATTTAGAGGATTGTAGATTTCTCGCTTAAATGTAATCATGAAATATTTATTTGTCCTGTTACTGACCTATTTCACTGTAATATAATATCTTCCAAGTCTATCCATTAGAACTCCCTTTTCTTTCTTTCTTTTTTTGGGGGGGTGTTTTTTTTGAGACAGGGTTTCCTCTGTATTGCTTTGGAAACTGTCCTGACCAGGCTAGCCAATTCCCCTCTTTTTTTTCTTTAAAAAGTTGCTTATTTTACATCCAGGTCACAGTTTCCCCTCTCTGTTCTCCTCCCAGTCCCTCTCCCAAATCCCCCTTTGCCCCCCTCTTTCTTTTTTTGGTTTTTCGACACAGGGTTTCTCTGTGGCTTTGGAGGCTGTACTGGAACTAGCTCTGGTAGACCAGGCTGGTCTCAAACTCAGAGATGTGCCTGCCTCTGCCTCCGCCTCCCAAGTGCTGGGATTAAAGGTGTGTACCACCAAGGCCTGGCTGCCCCCCTCTTTCTTAAGACTGGATAATGTTCCAGACTGTCTATACAGCACATTTTCTTTTTAATTTGTACATTAGTAGACTTAGATTACTTTTCATGTCTTGGCAATGGATAATTCTACAGTGAACTTGAGCCTGCAGGTTTGTCTTTGATAGCCCCACTTCAATTGTTTTGGATATATACCCAGTGTGAAATTACTGGATCATATCGTTGTTACATTGTTTCTAGGAACTTCTATATATTTTTCATATTGGTTTTACTGGTTTATATTTACACTATCAGTGTATAAGAATTGACTTTCTCCACTTATCTTTTCTCTTTATAGATAGAGCCATCCCAGTGAGGTGGAACCTCATTGTATTTTTGACAATTACTGATTTTGAGTGCTCTTTTTTTGCATATCTATTCTTCACTTTGCATGCCTTTTTAAAAAGAAATGTCTTCTCAGTACCTTTGCTTTACTTATTTTCCAAATCTTTGTTGAAAATTTTAAATAATGAGAACTAATGAAAGATAAAAGACATCACAATAAAACTAAAAATGAAACTCAGTGGAAATAACTGAATGTGTGGAAATAAGGGAAAATAGAATACAACATTTTCAGTAGGATTACTAATCAGAAGAGGAAATAGATGTAGAAAAAAGTTGAATAGGAATACTAATAGAACATAACAGTTTATTATTCAGGGTTCTCTAAAGAACAGAACTGATATGTGAAAATACATATGTTTAATTTAATAATAATGATATATTTAATTTAATTATTACTATGTATTTAAAGGAAATTGTTAAAATGACTTCTTAGCTGTGGTCTGAATGATCCAACAGTGGCTGTGTCCTAAGGAAAAGTCAAGGATATAGTAGTTGTTCAATCCACTACACTGAGTGTCTCAGCAGTTTCAGTCTGGTGCTGGAGTCCCAAGTCTAGAGAGCTGCCAGTTTGCAGTCCATACTGGAATCCCAAAGAACTGGGTTCAAACACCAGCAAAGGAATGACTCAGGGACGGGATAGACTTGCCAGTGAGAGTGGGGGCAAGCAGGCAAAAAGCCAAAAGCTTCTTCTGTGTTCTTTTATGTGGGCTGCCACCAGAAGCTGTGACCCAGATTTAGGGTGGATCTCAAATAATCCAACCAAGAAAAATCCCTCACATGTGTGCCTAGCTGCTTGAGTTTTAGTTAATTCTAGATTTAAAGTCACATTGACAAGCAAGATTAGCCATCACAGTCAGTGATGTAAACTTCTTGCATAAACGATCAGATGTTAATCCAATAATTTACTGAGATTTAATTAATATGGTCATTTTCTTCTGAAAGGAATTTTTCTCCTTTCATGCATAAGCCCCTTTCTAGTTTCCTACTATCTGTGTCTATTTTTAAGTTTACAATATTTTTAATGTTTTTGTTGTGCTACTGAATCATAAGAATTCTCGCTGTTTTCTAACACATTAAATAAACAGTTTAAATATTCAACAATTATAAGAATTCAATGATTTGCAAGTATTTTCTGTCTGTGCACCACTTACATGCCTGGTGCTCCTGGAGACTAGAAGCATTGGCTTCCTTGGGACTATAGGTACAAACAATTGTGACTATGTGGGTGCTTAGAATTGAATCCCATGTCTGGAACCACCTCTCCTGTCTGCTCCAGTTATTCTTAGAGAATCCTTCTAGAGAAATGGTACCACTGAAAATTATATATTATTAAAAATTTTTTATTGAGAAAAGACATTAGAAAAGTATTCTACATTAGAATCAGTTAAGTGAGATTTTGATTTTGTTTGATGTAAATTTCCCGCATGATTTTTTTTGTTTGTTTTTGTTTTTTCAAGACATGGTTTTTCTATGTAACAGCCCTACCTGTCCTGGAATTAGCTCTGTAGACCAGGCTAGCCTCAGACTCACAGAGATCCGCCTGCCTTTGCCTCCCAAGTGCTGGGATCAGAGGTGTGTGCCTCTACCGCCTGGCTTCCCCCATGAAATAAATAGGTAGAATGCATTGAGATTTTGAGGGTATAACTGGTAACTCTTTGTGGGACACACATTATCTAGTACCTTATTTTAGGAGAATGACATATCAACTGTGCTCAGAAATCCAGTGCCAACTATGCTTTACTAAAATATAACTATGTCATTAGGTAATTAAGCTTCATACATAATATATGTGACTTAAGCTATATCTTGATGAAATGTATTGTTTTTGTTCAAAGGGCAAATTAATAAATCTTATTCTAAAAAGAAAAATTGCAAGGTAATTTAAGGTTTAAAGGTTTTCCTTTTATTTTGGAAGTTATTTCTTTCAATAAATTAGTGGTGTTTGTTATTGGATTTTTTTTTGCAGTTTATAAGGAAGAAAGCCATTGCTTTTGATGGATATATTTCCTTCATTTTTTTGAGACAGGGTTTCCTTGTTTAGCTTTGGAGCCTGTCCTGGAACTGACTATTGAAGACCAGGCTGGCCTCACAGAGATCCGCCTGCCTCTGCCTCCCAAGTGCTGGAACTAAAGGTGTACACCACTATTGCCCGGCAGTTAATATCTTTCTACACATATTTTTGACAACTGATTTTTATAAGACACAAATAAAACATGCTATTTCTCCTCTTTCAGCGTTGCTGCCCAGACATGATAAATAATTTTCTGGAGACTCTTAAGTCAGAACATTCAAAGGCTGAAAACAAAAGTAACATTGTCTTAGAAAAAGGAAAGTTGATTATGCTAGTTAGTGATTTTTATTATGGAAGACATGAAGGAGCTGTTGAGGAAGAACTGAAGACTCACACAACTTTTAAATGCTTCAGTTGCTCGAAAGTTCTTAAAAATAATATTAGGTATGTAAATATTTTTTACTTGTTTGAATATGAAGAAATGATACTTTTCATCTTGATCTTTTAATATAAATATATTATTTTTCTTTACTATCATAGGTAAACCATTTTAATACTTCTACTAAGAAAGGCTATTTGTTACACTGAAAATTGTACCAGGCTTTTTCTTTGGGGTCACTAACCAGCTCCCATATCATGACCTGGAGACTTACTAGTTTTGAATGTTTGACCTAGCTTAGGCTCTTTTTCTGACTAGATCTGTTAACTTAAGTTAACCTGTTTATCTTTACCTACCTTTTTTTGCCTTGAGGCTTTTACCTTTTCTTTCCTTCTGTATATCTCATTTTCACTGTTTTTCTATCTGGCTGACTGGCAGCTGCCTGGCTGGCTGACTCCTGGTGTGTCCCTCTCATTCTCCCTTATGCTCTTTTTCCTTTCCTAGTTATTCTTTCTGCCCAGCAGCCCTGCCTGGCTATTAGTTGTATTCACCTTTTTATTAGATCAATCAGGTGCCTTAGGCAGACAAAGTGAAATAGCAGTACATCTTTTCATAATTAAACTAATGCAGCATAAACGAATGTAAGACATCTTTGCCCAGTTAAAATAATATTCTACAACAGAAAGTTTTGTTTTTCTTGTTTTTCATAGTTTGATACCTGGATCTACCCAGCTATAATTTTTTTCCAGATAGCTTAAGAAAAGACAAGAGTATTTACTGTAACTTAGGGGAAATGACGTATTTTCGACTTGACTGAGTTACTTTCCTATTGCTGTAATAAAACACCATGACCAAGGCAAATTATACAAGGTGTTTATTTGAGCTTATTGTTTCAAAGGGTCAGAGACCATGATGGTGAAACAGGCATGGTAGCAAGAACAGTAGAGAGCTCACATCTTTATCCACAAGTAGGAGGCAGAGGAAGATCAAAACACTGGGAATGACCGGAGTCTTTTGAAAACTTAAAGCCTGCCTCCACTTACAAATCCCTTCTAATCCTTTTCCAACAGTCCACCAACTAGAGAACTAGTATTCAAACATATGAGCCTATCAGGGCCATTCTCACTCAGACCATCACATTCCAAACTGTATTAGGGTTCTCTAAAGGAATATAACTAATAGCATGAATATATGTATATTAAGAGGGGATTTGTTAGAGTGACTGTGGTCCAAGTAGTTCAACAGTGGCTATCTTTTGATGAAAAGGCCAAGTATTTGGTAATTGTTCAGTCCACGAGACTGGTTTTCTCAGCAGCCCCCAAGCTGGTGCCAGAGTCCCAGGAAAAGCCTAAAGACTGAAGGAAAAGCCTTCAGTCTTTGTTGGAATCTAGAAAATGTAGGTGCTACTATTATCACCAAAGGAATGACTCAGGAACCAGGATAGTTGAATTTGCAAGTGAGAGTGAAGGCAAGCAGGCAAAGAGCATAATCTTCCTCCATATCCTTTTATGTAGCTGCCATCAAAAGGTGAGTCTTCTTACCTCAGATGATACAGTAAAGAAAATTCCTTGTGGATGTGCCCTGCTGCTTGGGTTTTAGTTGATGTGGTCAAGTTGATGACCAAGATGAGTTGTCACATCTTTATATTTATTTTCTTATGCTGAATCTTAAATTTCTCCATATAACAAGAACTACCTTATCTTGCCTAATATCCTCCATGCTAGTCTTATTTTTCAATATTAGCTCAAACTTTTATACTAGCTCAAACTTTTTCAGCTCCTATTTATAATTTCAGCATATTTACCTCAGAGGAAAAATGATTCTTTTTTTTTTAATCATCTTCATTAGAGAAGTTCATGTTACGTACAACATGTCTGCTTTGATTTTTTTTTTACAATTTTTATAGCACATATACAATGCCCAGTGGAGTTCTGAAGGTTTTTTTTTTTTGAGACAGGGTCTCACAGTATATCCAAATTCACTGTGTAAACTAGGCTGGCCTTCAACTCAGATGTGCCTGCTTCTGCTTCCTGATTATTGAAGTAAAAGACGTGTGCCATCGTACCTGGTTGAAAGTCTAAAAATTTTATAAATTTTTGTTTTAAAATTTAAGAACTTATATTTTATTATCTGAGTCATATGGCATGTTGAATATGTAAGATAGTGACAAACCAAAGTAACAAGACAATTGACTAATATTTTTCATTGCTTTTATAGTTGGTATTTGCGGTAAGTGACTTTGTTTTCCCAAATGTGTGTGTGTGTGTGTACTTCTAATATTTTTTAGAGAAAAATTTTGAGACAGGGTCTCTCAGTTTTGTAACTCTGACTAAATCTAGAACCTACTATGAAAACTAGACTGGCTTTAAAACCACATAGATATGCCTGCCTCTGCTTTAATCCTGAATACCTAGATTAGTGGTGTGTACCATCATGCCCCATGAGACTTTTTTTTTGTAAATATAGTTTAATAAATTACTCAAAGTCTTATCTTTTATTTATTCTTTCATTCTATTCATACTTATTAAATTACCACTATTTGTAAGATTTGGGCTATACATGAGTCCATTAAAATGTTCACATGGCTTGCAGACATTATAGACACTGTACAGTATAGTTTAGGAAAACTAAAAAGCAAAGTATTGGCTAGTAGCCTTTTTCTTGTCAAGTATATTGTTTGAGAATCTCATACATGCACATAATATTTTGATCAACTCCACCCCATTCCTTCACCCTTGATACTGCCCTGTCCCCCTACTTTTTCCCTCCCAAGGTCATTGCTGTTTTTTTTCCTTAAGCCCACTGGGTCCACCTAGTGCTTGTTGGTGTAGCATGTGGGGCTATCCACTGGAGCATAAGCAGTCTTTCTGGGGCCACATTCCTGAAGAAAACTGACTTTCCTCTCTCACCAGTTTCCATTAATTGTCAATAGTTTCTCCATTAGGAATAGGTCTCCATGAACCCTTTCCCAGTCCAAGCTGAGATTTTGGCTGGATTGATCTTGTGCATACAGTCACAACTACTGTGAGTGTATGTGTGTAACAGTGCTATTTTCCCAACATTTTTAAATAAAATTGTTTAAATATTTAACAGGGGTAAAAAAGTTTTACAATAAAATGAATATCTGTTTACCAATTTGATTTTACCATTCACATTGTACTATATAAATCAAGTAAATTGATTTATGTGTCTCTTACACTTTTATTTTATATATAGCCTAAAGGTACTGGTTCACCTGCATTTTATATTAACATGTGTCCTACTTTGGGTTTCTATTGCTGTGATGAAACACCTTCACCAAAAAGCAAGTTAGGGAGGAAAGGGTTTGTTTTTTTCACAGTTTCATATAGCAGTTTATCATCAAAGTCAATGAGGGAGGGCATGAATTCATGCAAGACAGGACCTGGAAACAGGAGCTGATGAAAAGGCAGGCCATGGAAGGGTGCTGCTTGCTGATTTGCTCCCCTTGGCCTACTCAGCCTGCGTTCTTAAAAGAACCCAGTACAACCAACCCAGCAATGGCACCACCCACAATGGGCTGGGCCCTCCCCCATCAATCACTAATTAAGAAAATACCCAGCGGGTTTGCCCCCAGCCCAATCTTCTGGAGACATCTTCTCAATTGAGGCTCCCTCCTCTCTGACTCCAGCTTATATCAAGTTGACATAAAACTATTCAGTACTACAGATCACATGTAGTTAAGTGCACTTGTTAACTAATAAGATGCTCAGAAAATTTTAGATTTTTGAGTATTTCAAATCAGAATTCAACAAATAATTGATTTACTACATATGTATTCATCCACAGAACTATGTAATATTTGAATACTTTTCAAAGGAAGTTTTAGATACCTACCAAAACCAAAGGAGTAAAAAAGATAATGTACTCCAAACATGGTAGTGCATGCCAGTGCCAGTGTTTCTCTGTATTGCTTTAGCAGTTGTCTTGGAACTTACTCTTTAAACCAGGCTGGCCTCGAACTCACAGAGATCCGCCTGCCTCTGCCTCCCAAGTGGTGGGACTAAAGGTGAGTGCCATCAGGGGTTGGGGATTTAGCTCAGTGGTAGAGCCCTGGGTTCGGTCCTCAGCTCTGGGGAAAAAAAAAGACAAAATAACAGTGAGTGCCATCAACGCCCGGCATCTTTTGTTGTTATAAAACTGCACTTTTGCATCTGTTTTACTATCATTTATAGGTTCATGAACCACATGAAACACCACTTAGAACATGAAAAACAGAACATTGAGTCCTGGGAAAACCATACTACGTGCCAGCACTGCTACCGACAGTATCCCAACCCCTTCCAGCTACAGTGCCACATTGAGAGTACACACACTCCTCATGATTTTTCTAGTAAGTGACAGTTTTACAGAATTTGGTTATCTGATTATGAGGGAACCTTAAAGACCACCTATTCCTATTACTTCTAGTAGTAATAGTAATACTGTATTACTTGATGTTATGATTATTTAATATAAATCTTGTTTTCATATACATGTGAAAATGATATAATATGCTTTTTCTCTTTCAGCTATTTGCAAAATCTGTGAATTGTCTTTTGAAACAGAGCATATGCTTTTACAACATATGAAGGACACTCATAAACCTGGTGAAATGCCATATATTTGCCAGGTATACATGTTTTGGTATATACTTCAATGTGTTTGTTCAATGTCTGCATGCCATGAAATAGTATTGTTCATTTTGATTTCTGAAACATCAAATAAACTAAATAAAATTAGTATACTAAAATTAAAATGTTTCTGTGTTTAATAAAATTCCCTTTTGGTTGAACGCATGCATTGTATGTGGGTTTAATGGGCTTGATTCGGCCTTCCTGGCCATAGTTCTGTAACTACTATAATAGACAATTGTCCAACTGGAGAAAGACAAAAATGGTATTATGATATAGGGAAGAACATAGATGTTTTGGGGAAATAGGAAATACTAGAGAACTTAACCAAATATTTTTTGACCAGTCTTTTTCCAGAATTTGAAGTGACTCCCAGTATTACAAAACAACATAAAAATTAGCTGTCTCTGGCTTAGCCTTAGCCTTTAAAATCTAAGTAAGAAAATACTGTTTTATGTAGCAGAAAAAAGCATAAAATAAAGATGTTAGTGCTTGAAAACATAAATCAATGTAAGGGATGATAGATCTGAAAAGAGGAATACAGTCTAGCTATAGTTTGAAATATCCCTAGTGCAGGATATTTTTCTAAACCAATGATGTCTCACTAGTAATTTGATATAAATTGTATGCAAGTTATAAAATTTTATGTTGAACTTAAACTTTATTTCTATTTCTAGGTTTGCCAGTTTAGATCATCAATATTTTCTGATGTAGAAACTCACTTTAGATCATCTCACGAGAACACTAAGAACTTGCTATGTCCATTTTGTCTCAAAATTAGTAGAATGGCAACCCCTTACATGAATCATTACATGAAGCATCAGGTGAGATTTAGACTTTATTTCTTCATATTGTTTCATTGAAAAGATATACATAGAACATTAATTAAATTTATTCTAAGGAAACAAAATTGGCCTAATTAACAGTTTATACTGATTTATGAACTATCCACTTCTTTTTCTTTCTTGCTTTCAGGTAATACTGAGGTCCATAACAAGTGAAGTTTCTGAAACATATCACTAGAAATAGGAACTGCAGAAGAGAGGGAAAGGGGGTAAATGAGAGGAATGTATAAGCTGCATATGTTGTCATGCAAGATTCATAGGCATTGTATCTAGTAGGCAATTTTGAAAAGCAAAGGAAAGGATTTTAATTGAAAAGACTATGGTTAAAGACCTATAGCCTTGTGATTTTTCCCTTTTCATATTTTTTCCACTTGCTAGTTCATTTTGTTGACTCTGATTTTTTTGTTTTTGTTTTTTTGTTTGTTTATTTTCAAACAGGGTTTCTCTGTTTAACAGCTCTGGCTGTCCTGGAACTAGCTCTGTAGACAAGGCTGGGCTCAAACTCGCAGAGATTTACCTGCCTATGCCTCCCAAGTACTAGGAATAAAGGGGTGCACCACCAACACCACCACCCAGCCAATGTGACTCTTATTACCAGAGTGTAAACTGAATCAGGGAACTGTAATTTGGTTGTAACTTGCTTGCTATGTGACTTTTGCCAGTTCTGTTATATAGTTTCTAAGATAACAATATCAGCGTTTACACCTTTCTCTGGAGTTCTGGTTTTATATTCACCTGGTCTTTTTTTTTTAATCATTAGCCTGAACTTTGGCTCAAAACTTTAATGAAATTGAGTCTGTTACATGCTTGAAAGAGCAGTAAACAATGTCTTTGGCCAAAACAAGTTGATGATTTATTTACCATGTATTACAAAACTTTTACTTCCTCAACACCACCCCTTAATATGGCTTTGGTTCTAGTCATTAGGTAATAATGAAATTAACTTCTTGTTAACTGGGAAAACAATTTTTCACCCTTAAAAAATTATGGCAAATCAGTGTCTGCCTGCCTTCCTTTTCTTCCTCCTTTCTTCCCTCCCTCCCTCTCTCTATCCATCCTTTCCACTCTTTCTCCCTCCCTCCGTCCCTCTTCCTCTCTCTCCCTCCCCCCATTCCACCCGTTTTTTGATGGTAACTCACTGTATAGCACTCACTGGCCTGGAACTCTTTGTAGACCACACTGGCCTCAAATTCATAGAGAGCCACCTGCCTCTGCCTCCCAAATACTAGGTAATAAAGATACGCTCCCACACCCTGCAACAAAATCTAGTAAAGAATTTCCCTAAAATAGTTCTCTTACAAATACTTTCTGATAAAGGAAATGACTGGGTTTTTTTGTTGGTTTTTTTTTTTTTTTTGGTTTGTACGAGACAGGGTTTCTCTGTATTGTTTTGGAGGCTATTGGTCCAGCCCAGCCTCGAACTCACAGAAATTCACCTGCCTCTGCCTCCTGAGTGCTGGGATTAAAGGTGTGTGTCACCACCACCCAGCCATGACTGGATTTTTAAAATTGAAATTTTAATTTTGTGTGTGTATGTGCATGTATCAGAGAGAGAGAGAGAGAGAGAGAGAGAGAGAGAGAGAGAGAGAGAGAGGGAGGGAGGGAGGGAGGGAGGGAGGGAGGGAGGGAGGGAGAGAGAGAGGGAGAGAGAGAGAGAGAGAGAGAGAGAGAGAGAGAGAGAGAGAGAGAGAGAGAGAGAGAGAGAGAGAGAGAGAGAGAGAGAGAGAGAGAGAGAGAGAGAGAGAGAGAGGAGAGTCTAAAGTCTCTATATATTTCTGGCTGTCCTGAAATTTACTATGTAAGCTAGACTAACCTTGAACTCATGGAGGTGCTTCTGCTTCTATCTCCCAAATGCTGAGATTAAAGGCATGTGCCACCATGACTGGCCTAAATTTTTTTATTACTTTAATTTTAAATAGCTTGCTTCACATGTCATTCCCACTTCCCTCTTCTGCCCCTCCTCCCACACCCCCTCACCATTCCCCCCAGCCTCCCACCCTATCGCCACTTCCTTCCACATAGGGGATATCTAGAGTCTGTCATTTCACTCAGGGCAGAGTCCAGGCACTCCCTTAAGAGTCCAGGCTGAGAGAGCATCCCTCTTTGTGTTATGGACACATGATGTCTGTTTGTATGCCAGGGATAAACACTGATCCACTTCCCAGGGCCCCATAGGTTGCCCAGGCCTCCTCACTGACTCTCACACTCAGGGGTCCTGCTGGCCTCCCAGCTGTTGGTCTGGGGTCCAAGAGCTCTCCTCTGTTCAGATCAGGTGTCTCTGCTGGTTTTGCCAGCCCATTCTTTGCCAATTTGCTCATCGCTCCCCTCTCTCTGTCATTGGGTTCCATGGGTTCAGTTCAGTGTTTAATTGTGGGTGTCTGCCTCTGCTTCCATCAGACACTGGATGAAGGTTCTAGGATGGACTAGCCTAAATTTTTGCTTATGTTTAAACTGGGTCACATAAAGTTAGTTTCATGCAAGTCTACAATGTGCTTTAAACATATCTCCCCTTTCCCCACCACCTTCCTCTTTCTCACCTATCCCTCCCCAGTCTTAATTAGTCCCTTTGTTCCCCTTGGCAGTTTCATTTCTCTTTTTAGTAGTTGGTTTGGGGTGTATTAATAACAACTCTCTTCTAAGAGAGTACTTAGAAGTTGGTGACTGGTAGCCTTCAGTATCTACCTGGAGTACCTTTGTCTTTAACCTTTTTCTTCATCCTTTTACTGTAATAACAAAACTGAGTACAGCAGTTTCTGGTTCTCATAAGTAATTCTACTGAATCAGCAGGCATGGGGGTATTCATGGGGATCACTGACTAGCTTAGTCTCTAACACACTATCAAAAACTGGCTCAAATAAAAATATTTATTTCTCACAGTTCTAGAATATGGAAAGTCCAAAATCAAGGCACCAGCAAAATTGGGTCTGGCAAGGGCCTATTTCCTGATTCACAGATACCCATGTTCTTACTGTGTCCTCACATGGCAGAAGGGGCAAAAAACCTCTCTTGTATAAGATACTATCCCACTTAGGAGGGCTTTGCCTCCGTCTAAATACCTTCCAAATAAGCTGCCTCCCAATGACATTACATTGGAACTCAGGATTTCCACATAAGAATTCATATAAGACAAGCATTCAGTCCATTCATTAAATTTAGAATACCCAAGAGATAGACATTCATCAGGAAAGAGAAAAGATCTTTTCATAAGGCTTATCATATATTCTCGGTTATTTTCAGTTTGAATAATTACTCACAAAAGATCAAAAAGCCATAGCTGAGCAGTCTTAGTCTTGTAATGGAAATTACATTATTAACACACCAGTAAGCCGGGCGTGGTGGCGCATGCCTTTAACAGAGGCTGGCAGATCTGAGTTCAAGAGCTAGTCCCAGGACAGCCTCCAAAGCCACAGAGAACCCCTGTCTCAAAAAACCAAAAAAAAAAACACTAGTAATACTGAATTTGTAGTTTATTATCTTTGAAGACTTTGGTTGTAACATTTTATATAATTTTAGAAATAGTACAGTTTACATAATATTTATGCAATATTAAAGTTTTTAGATATGCTAAATATTTTTATTAACTTCTTAATAGTAAAAGTAATTACCAACTACTAATCGCTTGTCTTATGTTTGAATAGTTCATACGTCAAATTTGTAATCAAAGTGCTTTTATACCATAATAGGTGTAGAATGTTTCCCAGTAGATTTTAATATAATTTCAGGTTGGGTACTTTATATCATAGCAAATAGTTTTGAAATTCAAAGACATACTTTTTAAAAACTGGAATAAAGCATTTGTGTAGTCTACATAAAATCCTAGAATTCATCTCCAGTACTTCAAAAACAAACTAATTAATTAAGGGATCCATATAGCCCAGTAGTAGCATAAGAGCCTGAGTATGATCCCCAGCACCAAAAAGGAAATGAAAACATGGCATTATTATGGGAGATGGTAAAATTATCTATGATAGTATGTAGCAAAGTAGATGTTAGTCAAAGAGAATTTTCAGGTCTCACGGTTTGTGGTGGGTAGTTGTTGGTGTCTGTAGAATGTAGTGGTGCATACCTATATTCCTAGAACTTGGAAGACTGAAACAGGAGGATCACAAGACACCAACAAAGTTCACCACATACAGAACTTTCAAGGGCAGCTGGGGCTGTATAATGAGACCCTTTCTCATAAAAGAAAAGAAAACATTTTAATATCATTCCTAATAATTTTTACAAACAGAATAAAGGAATTCATCGTTGCCAAAAATGCAGACTACAATTTTTGACCTGCAAGGAGAAAATCGATCATAAGTTAGAGCATCGTACATTTATAAAGCCTAAAGAACTAGAAGGATTGCCAACTGGAACAAAAGTGAGTATTAAATATATTGTATTTTAACTTTTTGTATAATAAACTCCTTGGCTGGATATGGTGGTGCATACTTATAATCCTTGCACACAGTAGGCAGAGGCAGGTGGATCTCTGAGTTCAAAGATAGCCTGATCTACATAGTGAGTTCCAGCACAGCCACGGCTACATGACTCTGTCTCAAAGAAGGAGGGAGGGGGACGGAGGAATAAGTCTACTTTTATTAAGAACTAAAGATTTTATTTTTTTAATTTGTGTGTGTTATGTGTTAAAAACTAAAGTTAATGGGTTGGAGAGATGGCTAAGAGGTTAAGAGCACTGGCTGCCCTTCCAGAGGACCTGGGTTCAATTCCCAGCACCCACATGGCAGCTCACAGTTGTCTGTAATTCTGGTTTCAGGGGATCTGATACCCTCATACCAATGCAAATAAAATAAAGTTAAATAAATTATAAAAAAAACTAAAGTTAAAAGTTTTAGTGTGTGTGTGTCTGTGTCTGTGTGTGTTAAGATTCCATGGGTTACAAGTAGTTATAAGCTACCACCCTACATGGATTCTGGAAACCAAACTCTGGTCCTCTGCAAAAGCTTCAAATGTTCTTAACAACTGAGCCTTCTCTCTTTAGCCAAGTTTCATTCTATGCTTGAAAAGTAAAACCTTTAATTGTTGTTTGAGTTGATTGACAGGTGCCTTGTTGAAGTGACATTTCTTTGTAGAGTCATTGTAGGCTGAATCACTTAAGTCGTTTTAGTATTCTATAGGCTGTTTTTTAAAATCTATTACATGCCTTGACTGCTAGACTACAAAGCATTTGAGACTGGGAGTCACATTTATCTTTTTGTTGCAAGCATCTATCATAGTGCCTTGAATGTCATGGATGTGTTGAAGTTGATATTACTAAATCTACATACAAAGAAACATGTTCTTTTCCTGGATAATATTATTGTTTTTAGTGAATAAGCACACATTTGACTATAAATTTAGTTTTCTGTGTTTGCCATATTTTTTCTCTGGCTTCTTTATATAAAGTCTGCTTCTGAATATGTGGTCCAACAAATGGATGGATAATACAAAATGAAATTATTCCCAAGCTTTCGTGTTTGGCTTTTAGCACATACTTTTGTGAGTATATCTGCTATTAGAATTACCTAAAATCAGATTAACTAAAATAACATGGAGCAATTACCATGAACATCTTGAATAAGAAAAGCATTCCGGTGTAACTTCTTGCAACCCATTTATCCCATGTTGAGACTATACATAGAGAATACTAATGTGAATGTTACAACCTCTCATATTTTCCATATTATAGTACAGTAATAGTAATAATACTAGTAATAGCCATGTCCTTTTTTATAACTTCTAATTTATACAGAAGTCCAACAAGATAGGAGAGTGAGCTAGTATTATCCATGTATTGTAGATAAAGAGACTTAGATGGAATCAATTCTTCTAGTCACAGGGAAGGGACTAGAAAAATTCCTTCTTTAGATACTCATGCAGTTTATACTAACTTGTAATTATCCATTAATATCTGTGTTTACATATAAATATTACCAATTTAAAGCTATAATATTTCAATAGCAAATAAACATTTAACTAAATAATATAAATATTACCAATTTAAAGCTATAATATTTCAATAGCAAATAAACATTTAACTAAATTTCATTTAACTGGTAAGACCATTTAAAATAAATGGGAAACTGGGCCAGTGAGTAAAGGTACTTGCCACCCAACAGTGCAAATCTGATTACCTGATTTCAATTCGTGGAACCCATATAAACATAAAAAAAGAGAGAATCAGTTCCAGAGTTATTCTTTGACAACTACATGTGCACCACATATACACACACACACACATAATAAACTTCAAAAACTAGAATAAATGGAAAATATATCTAATTGTACCATGTTTACTATTAGTAATATTTGACTTTGAATTATACTGATATTTTATAATAGCTTATTTAGAATATAATTCATGTATCAGACATTTTCCATTTAAAGTGCTCAGTTCCGTGGTTTTATCAACATTCAGAGTTGTAAAAGCATCATCTTATGCAATTTTAGATCATTTGCATTGTCAGTAAAAGAAACTCTACATCCATTAACAGTGACTATATTCGAGTGCTACTCTATGAATACTTTAATCTCTTCCCTCTGAATTTTCCCATTTTGAGAATTCCATATAAAGGAGATCATATAACATATAGTCTTTGAAGATTTATTTTATTTGGTATAATATTCCTAGGCTCATCTATCTTGTGGCATGCTTCATTCCTTTCATGACTGAACATACTCCTTTGTACGTATATTTTCATTCATCAGTTGATGGTATATGACTTAATGCTTATGTCTTCTTTGAAGAGATGTCTGCTTGTCTATGTTGTTGTTTGCTTATGCTTTGGATGGCATATTTCAGAAGTCATTGCCTGCAGGCATGGTGGATCTCTGTGAATAGTCAGCCTGGTCTATATAGTAAGTTCCAGAACAGCCAGTGCTACACAGAGAACCCCTCTCTGTCTCTCGAAAAAAGTAGAATCATTGACTAACCCCCATAGTATGAGAATTTATTTTCATGCTTTCTTCTTAGAGTTTTATAATTTAAAACTTGAGATCTAGTCCTTGATGTATGTCGAATTAATTTTTATGTTTAATTTGAAGTAAAATTTCTAATGCATCCTTCTATATGTGGATGTCAGTTCTTTTTTTTTTGTTTGTTTGTTTTTGGTTTTTTGGTTTTTCAAGACAGGGTTTCTCTGTGGCTTTGGAGCCTGTCCTGGAACCAGCTCTTGTAGACCAGGCTAGTCTCAAACTCACAAAGATCCGCCTGCCTCTGCCTCCCGAGTGCGGATGTCAGTTCTTACAGCACTGTTTAAATGTTGATAGAACGGTTGTTCCTGCCTTGAATTGTTTTGGCACTCTTGTAAAACAAAGCATTTGATCATAAATGTGAGCGTTTAGGCTAGAGAGATGATTCTGTATGTAAAATACTTGTACAAATTGGAAAGCTGAAGTTTTGGATCCCTAGCATACACATAAAAAATCTGGATAGGCATGGTGGCCCAACTGTAGTCCCAGAATGTGGAAGGAAGAAACAGGGGGTTCCAGGTACAAGCTAGCTAGCTAGACTAGCCAAATCAGCAAGCTCTTTGTTCAAGCAAGAGGTCCTGCTTCAGTATGTAAGGTGGAGAGCGATTGAAGAAGACACCTGGTACCAAACTGCAGGCCTCCACATATACACATCTGTGCACCAACACACGAATACACTTACACATATTACATAACTAAATGTGAGCCCTTTCAGGCAGTGTTTTTTGTTTTGTTTTGTGAGATTTATTTATTATGTATACAGTACTCTATCTGCATGTATCCCTGCAGACCAGAAGAAAGCACCAGTTCCCATTACAGATGGTTGTGAGCCACAATATGGTTGTTGTAATTTATCTCAGGACCTCTCAAAGCCAGTGCTCTTAACCTCTGAGCCATCTCTCCAGTCTACAAGCATTGTTTTTGGGGGGGAGGTTGGGGGTGGTTTTGGGGGGGAGGTTGGTTGTGTTTTCTGGTTTTTGTTTTTTTGTTACTGGTTTTATTTGGTTGGTTGGTTTTGGTTTTTTGAGACAGGGTTTCTCTGCCTTGGCTATCCTGGAACTCACTCACTCTGTAGATCAGGCTGGCCTCAGACTCAGAGATCCGCCTGTCTCTGCCTCCCGAGTGCTGGGATTAAAGGTGTGCGCCACCACTGCCCAGCCAGGCAGTATGCCACTTTAACAATCTAAAAATACATCCTATCTTTGTTTTCATAGGTTACTATTCGAGCTTCACTTGGATCTGCACAATCAAGATCATCAAGCCCACCTTCTAGTTCTATTCCAAGCACTTCTCTTCAAGTCTCAGCTTCAGAGTCTACAAATACAACTACTAAAAACAACTCAAAAGTACTTGGAAATAAAAGTAAGATAAGTAAGCCTCAGATAGTTTTAACCACAGTGTCTACACCCAGTACAAGTAAACCAGGACCAAGTGCAACTAAATCCAAAGCCAAGACCTCCAACAAGCAAAAGAAACAGCGCACTAGGAAAGACAAATTCAGTGTAGCTTTGAAGAACTTAAGGTAACTATTCATTCATACTTACTTAATCTAAAAAGTTAAGTGTTTATTTTAATGACTTACCATGTCACAGAACCTTCTTAAACATTTTCATAATAGAAAATTATCATGTAGACTAAGATTAAAAATGGTACTTTTTTTGCAACTACTGAGCAGAATTTGAACTGCTGTGCTTATTCTGTGATTTTAATCTTTTTCACCAGTCTTAAACTTTGTATTTTTACTTAATGACATTAAATTGCTTAACTTAGCCTTTTTCTTGTTTATTTGTTTGTTTTTGAGACAGGGTTTTTCTGTGTGGCTATCCTGGAACTCACTTCGTGGACCAGGCTGGCCTCAAACTCACTAAGATTTGCCTCTGCCTCCCTTAAAACCCTGTGTCATCACCACCCAGCTTAACTAAGCCTTTTTATTCTAGGGAAATATTTATATGTGCTAAGACTTTTTACACTTGTTTTAGCTTACTGCTTCAAAGCAAATTTTCAAAATTTAAATACCTATTTGATGTTCTTTTAAAAATTCTTCTGTAATGCAAATGCAACCTGACCACAGTTTTCCTTCCCTCCACTCCTCCTGGTTTCTCCCCTCACCTCCCTTCTCCCCCAGAGCCACTGCTCCTCCATTTCCCTTCAGAAAAGACAGGCCTCCCATTGGTATCAACTGAACATCGCATAACAAGATGCAGTAAGACTAGGCACAAACCCTCATATGAAGGCTGGATGAGGCAACCCTATAGGAGGAAAAGAGTAGACAAAAGAATAAGAGAAAGTCCCCATTCACACTATTAGGAGTCCAGCAGAAACCCCAAGCTAAAACAAACACAGCATGTATGCAAAGGGCCTGGTGTAGACCCATGTAGGCTCTGTCAGTGGTTGCTGCTTCAGTCTCCGTGAACCCCTTTGGGCCCTACTTACTTGATTCTGTGAGCTGTATTCTGGTGTCCTCAAGCCCTTTGGCTCCTACAATCCTCCCTCCCCTCTTCCACAGGGTTCCTTGAGCCTTGCCTAATGTCTGGCTGTGAGTCTCTGCGTCTGTTCCCATCTGCTGCCAGAGGAAGCCTCTCTGATGATGATTGGGCAAGGCTCCAATCTATGAGTATAGCAGATTATCATTTGGAATCATTCCATTGACTTTTGTTTTGTCTTGCTGTGTATTCGTCAATCATGTTTGGTTCTACCCTAGGTCTCTAAGCCATCCAGCTTCCAATTCCTGGCTATCCAGGCAGCATTGGACATGGGCTCCCTCTCATGGCTTTGGCCTCAAGTTAGACCAATTATTGGTTGACTACGCTCACAATATTTTACATATGTTAGACTTTTACATTCGTTTTTAGCTTATTGTTTCAAAGAAAATTTTCTAAATTCAAATAACTTTTTGATAATCTTAAACGTCTTTGTTTCAATTAATTGCTAATAAGGGTCTCATTATTTTGTTGTATGACATTTTTATTATTCTGTCTCCATAAGATGTCACCAGGGAACTCACACGTGTATTGAGTGCCATTCCGAAATAAAAGATTTTCCGAGCCACTTTTCTGCAGATTTAAATTGTAATTTTTGCAAGTACACCACTAATTGTAACAAAGCCTTTACAAATCATATGAGGTAAGTTGAACATGTATGGTGTTAGTCAAAAATACCTTTCAGAGCTGGGGGTGTGACTTTCTGATATACCATTACCTAGCACCTGTAAAGCCCTAGGTACAATCCCTAGCACCAAAAAAAAAAACCTTGCCATCCAGGTTTGATGGCAAATGCCAGCACTTGGAGACAAAGGCAGGTGGATCTTTGAGTTCAAGGTCAGCCTGGTCCACATAGTAAGACCCTGTCTCAAAAAAAGAAAAGAAAGAAAAAAAAGGCCCCAAGAGCTATGTCAATAAGTAATTAAAATAAATATTTTATATTTTATATATCATATAATATGGTAGCAAGAAAGAGGATTTAGTAAGTCAGAAATATGTATGAAGTGGTAGCACTAAAGCTAAAGTAACAGGAGACCAGACTTATGATCAAGGTAAGAATGAAAGCCAAAGTCCTCAAAATATGTGGCCACATCCTTCAAAGTGAGCCACTATGTACTGAAACTAGCAGCGATCTTACATAATAATGTTCAGGAAAAGCTAGGTGTGGTAACAAACTATTTAATCCTAGCACTCAGGATGCAGAGGTAGGCAGTTCTCATGTGAGTTTGAGCTAGACTGATCTACATAGAGGTCTTTAATTTCAGCTTATGTTTAAAAAAATACCTATTTGAGCTGGAAAGATGACTCGGTGATTGGTTATTCCAGAGGACTAGAGTTTGTCCCAGAACCCACATGATGGTTCACAACTGTCTATAACTCCAGCTTCAGGAGATCTGATGTTCTCTTCTGGCCTCCATGGTCACCAGGCATGCAAATGGTACACAGACATCCATGTAACCAAAACACTCATAAAAATAATCTTTTTAATAAAAAAGAATAAAAGGAAGGAGAAAGAAGGAAAAGGAAAAAATGAAATGAGAAAAAATAAGAGGTGCCAACAAGAAGCCCATCCCTCATAATACCTCACTATGTTGTACAGTAGAGAGACAAGCTAGTTCTCTTGGGTCTCTTTTTATAAGGGATACAAATTCTATGTGTAAGGCTGTGACCGAATTACTTCCCAAATGATTTTTTCTAATGCCATCACATTGATTGAGGTGAAGGGGAGGTTAGAATTTTAATATATTAATGGGTCCTTCCTCAGACCATATCAGAATCAACATAATCTCATTATTTATGTCATTAACTTCTATCCAAAATTAAGAAATAAAGCATAGACTTGAAAACATGCCCATAAAATTAATATGACTTATTCAATAAAATCTTGTTTGTCTTTTGTCTATTAGCTCTCATAGTGACCATCCAAGTAAACAGTTTTATATTTTTAAGAGGCATTCAAGAACTCTCAGGTAATTAATTGACCCTTTTCTGTTCTTTGTATTAAACAGTTGTAATTACATTTTTTTAACCTGGTGTTGGTATACCTAATTTGAAAATCTAAATGATTGTCACTGGATATGATAAGAATTATGTTTGTTATATTCTTAGAGCAAAGGAATAGCCTATCGTGACTAACCTCTATTTAAGTGGTGCCAGATAATGGATTGAAACTTTTATGCATTTACACTGTAAAATGAAAATAAAAGTCTCTTTAGTAATACTTGATTGGGAGTAAGTTTATTAAAATGCTATAGTATTTGAAATTAATATATAGTGTTTATAAATCTCAGCTTTATTCTTTTTTTAAATGTACTTTATTATGTGTATATGGGTGTCTTGCCTGTATCTATGTCTGTGTACCTACCACATGCATGTCTGGTACCCATGGAATCCAAAAATGAGCACTGGATCCCCTGAAACAGGAATTTCAGATGATTGCGAATCACCGTGTGTGTTCTGAGAATCCAACTTGGTTCCTCTGGAAGAGCAGCCAGTGCTTTTAACTGAGCCATCTGTTAGCCATCTGTCACTTTTACTCTTTATGAAAAAGAAAGTATACAACTTTCTTACTATACAGAAAGAATGTTTGGTCACTGTTTCTAAAGGTATTGATTCTGCTTTTGTTCAGAATCAACTACGTATTGTAGGATTTTTCACTGTCTTCTGATAGTTTTTTTTTACTACATTTTCTTTTTTTATTATCCCACTTACGTTGTCAGACATTGAATTCTGGGTAGCACATAATAGATACTTAGTTAAGTTAGAATATGTATTAAAAATATGTGTCCATGATATTAGGTCAGTAGCTCATAAAAGAAAGTTTGTTGCCATTTAGAAAATATACATACATACATACATAAGAGCTGGAGAGGTGAATCATGAGTTAAGAGTACTTGCTGCTCTTAAAGATAATGAGAGTTTAATTCCCAGCACCCATGTCAGGCTTCTCATATCGAAAGCCTGTAACTCCAGCTCCAGGGGATTTAGGGATCTTCTAGGCTTTTCAGGCAATTGCATACATGTGTGCATATACCCCCCCCCCGTGCACATAATTAAGACACAATCTTAAAGTATATACATTCATCATTGTAGCACTTGGGGAAGCATGCATATGGCCCCAACACTAGGAAAACTGCAGGATAGTGAGCTCAAGGCCAGCCTGATCTACCTGATCAAGTTCCAAGCCAGCCTGTTACCTGTGTCAAAGTAACAACAAATAATAATAGTAATAATAATAATAAATATTATTTTTGCCGGGCAATGGGGGCACAGACCCTTAATCCCAGCACTTGGTAGGCAGAGGAAGGCAGGCTGATCTCTGTGAGTTCAAGACCAGCCTGGTCTATAGAGCAATGTCAGGGTAGGCTCCAAAAGCTATACAGAGAAACCCTGTTTCAAAAAAATATATTTTAAATATGACTGACTAATTCATGGGAATTAGAAAAAGAAATATATTTGGTAGTACCTTTACTGGAAATATTAATTAAGTAATAGAAAATGGGTTTTGAGAAAGGGTTCTCTGTAACAAGTCTGGCTGTCCTGGAACTAGCTCTCTAGACCAGGATGTCCTCAAACTCAGAGATGTGCCTGCCTCTGCCTTCCAAGTGCTGGGATAAGGCATGTGCCACCACCACCCATAAAATTGTTCATTCTTTAGCTATTTATTGTTCATCTATAATGTGTAACACAAAGTATCAGTGATGAAGGCTTGGTACCAACTTTCAAGAAGGTACAATTTAAGCTGAGTATTGTAGCACATGCCTTTAGTCCCAGTACTCGGAAGGCAAAGCCAGGTAGATCTCTGTGATTTCAAGGACAGCCAGAGCTACATAGTAAGGCGCTGTTTCAAAACAATGTACAATTTATTGGGAGTATATAAAGAAGTGAACATTAATACAGTAGTATCTGGAATTTGTCATAAATACAGTGAGAATTACTTATTTCAGAGGAGACAAGGGTTTCTACTTAAAAGATGCATGAAAAAGAAAGCATGATTTGGAGCCGGGCGTTGGTGGCTCACGCCTTTAATCCCAGCACTCGGGAGGCAGAGGCAGGCAGATCTCTGTGAGTTCGAGGCCAGGCTGAACCGACAGCCTCCAAAACAATACAGAGAAACCCTGTCTCGTAAAACCAAAAAAAAAAAAGTTAGGGCCGGGTGTTGGTGGTGCATGCCTTTAATCCCAGCACTCAGGAGGCAGAGGCAGGCAGATCTCTGAGTTCGAGGCCAGCCTGGTCTACAAAGTGAGTTCCAGGACAGTCTCCAAAACAATACAGAGAAACCCTGTCTCGAAAAACCAAAAAAAAAAAAGAAAGCATGATTTGAAGTGCAGAAATAAAAAGGAGAAAGTATACATGTGCTTCTGAGTCACATTGAACAAATAGTAATACAGTTTGAATGGAGAACAAAGTCCATGTATTAGATCAAAATATGGCAAAATAAGTTTGAGCCTAGAGACAGATTTTTTAATCCATAATACAGTTCTAAGGAATTAATTAATTTTACTTTGAAAGACATTGAGAAAGTCAAAACAGATGCTTTTAATAGAATCAAGGGTATGGGAGGAAGATCAGTTTGGAGGAGTGTACATGGTAAATTGTAGCTACATATACCACAGAGTAGTTAAAGCTGTTATTTAGCAATTGATTGGGCTGGAACTAGAGAGATGGTAAAGTTAAAGGCATTTGTTGCTCTTGCAGAGGATCTAGGTTCAGTTCCTAGCACCTGTAGGTGGTAGCTTGCAACCATACATAATTCTAGTTTCAGGGACATCATATGTTCCAACTTCCATGAGCACCAGGCAGCATGTGGTATGCATAAATACATGTAGTCAAAACACTCATACACAAGCCAGACAGTGATGCACATCTTTAATACCAGCACTTGATCACTTTGAGTTTGAGGCCAGCCTGTATATAGAACGAGTGCCAGGACAAGCTTCAAAGTTAGAGAAACCCTGTCTCAGGGAAAAAACTACTCATACACAAAAATAAGATAATAAGTCTTTTTTTAGAAGCCCAAAAGAAAGAAGAGAGGGGCTAATGTGATGGCTCAGTAGTTACGAGCACTGGTCACTCTTCTAAAGAACCTGTGTTGATTGTCCAGCATCCACATGGCACTTCAAAATTGTCTGTAACTCCAATTCCAGGGGATCTGACTACCTCCCACAGACATACATGCAGACAAACTACCAATGAACATAAAACAAAAATAATATTTAAAAAAAAGAAGCCCATTTGTTAAAAACATACATAAAACCTTACAACAAAGGTATGGACTATTTTTATCAAAGAGTAAGTTTCATAAATGGAGGTAGCCTTAGCTAAGTTACTAAGCCTGACCCCATCCTGTTTAGAAAAGTGGTCATTATAACATCTATCTTTTAGGGGTTGGTTAGGTCATTGTTTAGAAGAGATAGGTGTAAAACCCTAAGTTTAGTACAGTGTAAATGATATTTGGAATTGTTATTAGATATTTGAAATGTTGAGATGATGTTTTTATTTGAACCTCAGAAGCAAGGAAATTGCATCATAAGAGAAACCAGGAATAAAGGGTGGTTTGGGGGAGGAAAACATGATTTTGGTTGTTCAAGGACACTTTTTTATGTGTGTAACACCTAGTCTTAAATATAAAACAGGATGTTAAGACCAGAGCTGCAGAGAAAAAAAAACAGCATAAGGTATACTACTGGGTTTTAGACCTATAAGGTAAGGTGTTTTATATGGTGAAGCTAGTTGTGGTGGCTCACAATTATAATTCCAGCACTGGTGAAGGGAGGCAGGAGCATCCTGAGTTGTGAGGCCCTGTCTCAAAGCAAACAAAACACAAGTAAAATATCAAGTATGTATACGCTTTGTTGTTAAACTAATAATTTTATTAAATAACTAAATTTAAGGTCTTCGCATCCCTTGTAACTTTATTCAAACCTAATTACACTAGATATATGGTTCCTAAACTGTACTGTTTTGTTTGCTGTTGTACACAAAATGCCTAGTAATTTGATGTATAGAGAATGCCCCAGGGCTTAGTTTTAGTTTTTTCAAGAGACTTCATTCTGTTTTCTGTAGTATTACAACTGTATGCTTCTAACAACATTGTATAAGTGGTCTTTCTCCATTATCTTCACCAGCATGTGTTATGTTTTGTATATTGATACAAGCCATTCAGACTTAAATGAAATGATATCTCATTGTGATATTTATAATTTTAAAATCTTTTCCAGACCTCTTGGCTATATTTCTTATTTTGAGGGGTTTTTTTTGCTCAATTTTGTGTGAAAAATATGCTGCTTTGTTCAGGTGTGTATACATCTGTAATAATATGAAGACATGCAAGAAATAATGTCTTCAGCCAAAATATATTTTGAATGAATGTTATCTTCTTGCTTGGCAGATGAGTCAAAGCATGGAATCTCTTTGACTTATTCAAGTTGCTAGTGGATCAAAGACTCCTTTGGGTCTCTGATGCCAATCTTTTAGCAAAAGATTGAACATGTATAGTTTATAAAGTGATAGCATAATGTAGCTATGGCTAAGCCAATTTCTTGAGAATCTTTTCTTCTTTTTAGGGCCAGTGATCAAATCTAGGGCCTTACACATGCAAGGCAAATACTGCCTACAACCTAACCCTTTGAGAAACATTGTAGATATATAATATTTAACAAAACTGGGAAATGATAGTAATAGCACATAACATAGAAATCAAGAGTTATTATATGGAACAACAATTACTGAGTTTATGTATGGATTGCCACATACGATTTGTCTTACTAGCTTTCTCTCTTTTTGTAGGGGCATCACTCTAGTGTGCCTTAAATGTGACTTCCTAGTTGATACTTCTGGCTTAGACCGTATGGCTAAACACTTAAATCAACGTAAAACTCACACTTGCCAAGTTATAATAGAAGATGGTATGTATATGTGTCTATTACTTTGAATTTATGATATATAAGCCAGTGGTTTGGATCTATTACAGTGTGAGCTCTTTACAAATTTAGTTGATACTCAGTCTTTGTGTATTACATTTCTAAACATAAAGCCTTCTCTGATTTCAGTTCCTGAAAGAACCTCAACTTCTGAATCCACTTCTGAGTAAGTTTAATTTTCATTATACAAGTTACTTTGATAGATTTTAGTACTGTTGCAATTTTTAAATATATTGTTATTAGAAATGAAAAATATTAAAGTATTTTGTTTTTGTTTTTGTTTTAAAGCGGCTTGTTGAAATAGATTCCTGCTCTATGGAGCTCGTGCAACCTGGTGCAAGACAAGTTGGAATTTCCTAAGTTCAAAGTTCTGCAGTGTTTGCTTTTACAAATCCTAAGTTCAAAGTTCTGAAATGTTTTCATAAAGACAATTAAAACCCACAACACTAGCTCTCATTTATTCAGCTCTTTCGGCTTTCAGATGGCAGTAGATTCCTATTCCACCTTATCTTTGTGTCAGGTTAACTTATCTTAACATGTACTTTTCTTCTCCAGTTGGCTCTGGAAAAATAACTTTAGTTGCTATAATCTTTTCTTGCTTTCCTTCACATAATTTGTGTTTTTCTCTGCTGTACTTACCTTGAGAATACTACATATCTAATAGTGTAGCTGTTCTATTTCTTTTTGTCTGTTTTGTCTGCTTCTTAATTTCTTATAAGTCTTGCTGATCAGATAGCTGTTTTTTCCTTCACTCTTTGTCTGTCATTTTTCTATTTTTCCTATTTTTCAGATGCAGAAGCAACACAGAAATTTCAAAAAATGTCCAGTGTACTCCTGGACAGTGTCCCCCTTCGTTGGACACAACTGATGCCTGTTCTCTCTTTCCAAGGAATGTGAATTGTTTGACTGTGAGACCTGTTTCAATTTGTAGCCTTGGGAATTTATCTGTTGTTAGGCAGAGTCCCTTCCTACCTGATTGGCCTTCCATAAGGCTGATGTTCATTTGGCCATCAATGACTTCAAGGTCTACCAAATTGAACACATCTTCCCACTGGGGGCTTTGGTTCTTAAGTTTAGGCTTATGAATTGATACTAGTCATGAAAGCCCATCAAGTAAGTGCTTTACCATACAAGTTCAAGTTTATCACTTTGCCTGAAGTCCTTTATCTTCCTCTAAGCATGAATACAGTCTGAGGTGTATCAAAAACCTGACTGTGTAGAGAGTGAAGATCACTTTCATGTTCGTGGAAAAGCAAACTTTGTGAAGTTCTGGCTCCAAAGTAAGTTACTTATCTTGCCATTTAAAGTTTTAGCCAGTAATCCAAAAGTTCTCAATAGTGCTAGTACTTAAATTCTTGATTTTTGTCATTGACCAAGTTTATTGATGACTAATTTGTATGTCTACTTTCATAATTTCTGATTCTTTTGTTCTGTTTGTTCAAAATGCCAAAAAAATTTCTTTAAATTTTTCTAAAGATTTCATGCAACTACCTGTTGGTAGTTTTTTTTCTTTCTTTTTCTTTCTTTTTTTTTGTTTGTTTGATTTGGTTTTGGTTTGTTTTTTTGTTTGTTTGTTTGTTTTGAGAAAAGGTCTCTACTATATAGATCAGGCTGACCTTGGCCTCACAAATTTCTCCCTGCCTCGGCCTTCCAAGTGCTGGATTTAAAGATGTGTGGCACTTGTTCAGCTCATACATGCTCTGTCTATCTTGAGACTATCATTAACATCTTAGGGCTCAGGAATTCAAAGACAAAGAACAAAACTCCCCTTACAGATCTTAAGTTTTAAGTTACTTTGCCATTCACTTAATAGTTATCTTCTTAGCCATTGATGTAATTCTTTTAGATAAAAATAATATATTCAAAAATATTGGGACCAAATAATGCACTTGTTTCTTGCCCACATATATATAGAGAGAGATGTATATTTTTTTTATTTTGGTGTTTGTTTATTTTGGTTACATTGAACATAGTTTTTTCTGAACAGTTTTGATGTTACTTATTTTTTTAATAAAATTTGCATTGTTAAACACTCTTGGGAATTATTTTATAATAAATAAGTTGATATAAAAATTTATAGATTGCCTTTAATCCCAGCACTCGGGAGGCAGAGGCAGGCGGATCTCTGTGAGTTTGAGACCAGCCTGGTCTACAGAGTGAGTTCAAGGACAGCCTCCAAAACAATACAGAGAAACCCTGTCTCGAAAAACCAAAACAAAAAAAATTATAGATTGTATCAAATAACAAGAGGAATTGTTTTCCTTTTCACATGGAAGCCTGCCTGCTTTGACTATAGACTAAGATTTTTTTTTTTTTTTTTTGGTTTTACGAGACAGGGTTTCTCTGTATTGTTTTGGAGGCTGTCGGTCCAGCCTGGCCTCTAACTCACAGAGATCCGCCTGCCTCTGCCTCCCGAGTGCTGGGATTAAAGGCGGGCGTCACCACCGCCCGGCCTAGACTGAGATCTTTACACAATACATCTTGTACTGTTTCCTTAAACACACTTAAAAGCTCACTAATTTTGAACTATTTTACAAGCTGTCAAGAGATGGCTCAGCTGGTAAGAACACTGACTGCTCTTGCAGAAGACCCAGGTTCCGTTCCAAGCACCCATATGATAGCTCATAACCATCTGCAATTTCTGTGCCAGGGAATTTGATGTCCCATTCTGGCCTTCGAATATACCAGGCATACATGTGGTACACAGATGTACATGCAGGCAAAATACACATAGACATAAAATAAAATTACTTTTAAATTTTTGGTGCAGGGTCATTATGTATACCTGTGGCTGTCCTGGAACTTGCTGTGTATACCAGATTGACCTTGAACTCACAGAGATTCACCTGACTCAGACTCTTGATTGCTGAGTATAAAGGTGTGTACCACCACACCTGTACTAAAAAAATTACAGCTAGCAAAAGTATTTTCTTAATTGTGGTAAGAGCAGGCAAGGTCTGAAGTCCCAATTCAATGATGAGTGTTTCGGTTGGGTTGGTTAGTTGTTCTTTTTGTTGTTTGTTTTGATTTAATGTAAAGTCAGGTCTATATGAGCATACTTTGAAACATACTAAAAGCCAGTTCAAATGGTCACTTCTTTGCAATCATAATCAAGAGCAGAAATCATTAGGTTAATTTTTTTACTGATACCTGCTAGCAATGTATTTCAAAATCTTTGGGATTGACTTATTTTGAGATAGTGTGACCTTAGTAATACTCTAGACTTTTATTTCTATACCTAACACAAAAATTTTGTCAGTTACCATCTTTCCACTCTGTTTTGAAAATTTTGTTTTAGCAGTATTGATGAAGCTCCAATTTTTAAATTTTAAACGCTTACAACTTTCTTTAAATAAAAACATTTCAGGCAATCAGAGCTAAGCTTGCTTATATTGTATTGGTAGTAAAGAGTTTTAGCTTGACACTCCCTCTTTTTCTTCAGGCTGTTCTAAGTCTTTTCAGTTCCATACAGCCATCACATGATACTCCACTGTGGTTTTTTTTTCCCAACTGAATAAAAATACAGTTGATTTACTTTCAGTTCATTTCCATAATTAGAAAAATAATCACTAGCTAGGTGGTGATGGTGGTGGTACACCTTTAATCCCAGCTCTCAGGAGGCAGACCCAGGTAAATCTAAGCTTAAGGCCAGCCTGTTCTACAGAGCAAGTTCCAGGACAACCAAGCTATGCAGAGAAACCCTGTTTCAAAAAACTAAAACTAATAATGGTAATCACTAAACTTACATTCTTGCCCTCCATTTTGAAAACATATAGTTGGACCTCATTGGTTTGCTTTGTTCAGCAAACATTTATTGAGAACTTACTAACTGCCACTATTCTTGGTATTTCAATTACTGAAATCGCTGCCTTTGAGAAATTTGTATTTCAATAGTGGGGGACAGACAATAGAAAATAATTATGTTCTAGGTACTTAAAACAAAGACTTTCTGAAAATAACTTTTAACAGCTCAAGAAATAGTTGTGAGAGCCAGGTATTGGTGGCGGATCTCTGTGAGTTCCAGGCAATGCAGAGAAACCCTGTCTCAAAAAAGAAAAGAGATGGTTGTAAGAATTGATTAAAAAAAAGGATTATATGAAATTAAAAAGCTGCAGAGCGGCAAAGGAAGCAGAGTTAAATGATAGCCTACAGAATGGGGATAGATATCTTTGCCAACTATATCTATGTGGAATTAGTATCTAGAATCTACCAAGAAATACGTTGTTATATGTAGTTAATATATGCTAATAAAAGAATAAAATCACCAAACAAAAGAAATACAAACATTGAACAAATAAACCAGTCAATAACTGAACAGACATTTCTCAAAAGAAATGGAGGGGATGGCTCAGCAGTTAAAACAATGGGCTTCCCTTTCAGAGAAGCAAGGTTCAATTCCCGGTACCCAAGGGCAGCTATAACCATCTACAACTGATCAGGTGCCCTGTACTCGCCTCCATGGTCACTACATGCACATGGTGCACAGACATGGGGGGAAACATATAAAATTAAAATTCATGTTAATTTTAAGGAATAGGGCTGTTAGGATTGCTCAGTGAATAAAGGTCATGTGACCATGCCTGATAACCTGAATTTGATCCTTGGGATTCACATGGTGGGAAGAGGGATCTGACTCCTGCACGTCATCCTCTGTCCTCTATGTGCCCTGGATCTTTTCCTTCAAAGATGCACAAATAGCTGTAAATACAGAAAAATATATTCAACACCCTTAACCATCAGGAAAATGCACCTTTAAACTACATTGAGATTCCATCTTACCACAGTCTATGAATGGCCATCATAAGGTTGTGAGGAAAGAACATTTATACATGCCTGGTAGGGGTGTAAACTCATGAAACCATTATGGAACTCAGTGCAGTTCCTCAAAACACTAAAATAAAAATGTCATATAACCCAACTGTACCTCTTTGGTGTAGATACCTGAAGGACTCTGAGTAATCATACAACAGAACTATTTGTATGTCTATATTTATTGCAGCACTATTTACAATAATCAAGATACAAATTATCTAGGTGCTCATCCACAAGTGAATGGGGGGAGTGAATGAATAAAGAAAGGTGGTATATTTGCACAATGGAGTTTTTGCCAGCCATAAAGATTCTGGTGGTAATTGTGTCGTTTACAGGAAAATAGTTAAGTCAGAGTCAGACAATTACCACATTTTCTTCCCTATCTGGAAAGTAGGTGATGGTGGTGTGTGAAGGAAGAGAACCATGGAAGGGAGAACAAGACAGGATTATAATGAGGCAGAAAAGAGAAAGGAACCACATTTTCTTACGTGAAATAAGAAACCATTACATTTTTATGTGTATAGGTATTTTGCCTGCAAGCATGTCTGTGCAGCATGTGTATTCAGGTGTCCTTGGAGTATCAACACCCCTGGAAGTTGAATTATAGGTATTGTCAGTCACCCACTATGAGGGCTGGGAACCGAAACTGGGTCCTAGGCAAGAGAATCAGGTGCTCTTAACCACTGAGCCCACTCTCCAGCCCAGTCATATTGTGTCTCTTTTTTTTTTTTTTTTGAGACAGGGTTTCCCTGTGTAGCTTTGGAGCCTATCCTGGAACTAGCTCTTACAGACCAGGCTGGTCTCAAACCCACAGAGATCTGCCTGCCTCTGCCTCTCGAGTGCTAGGATTAAAGGCATGCGCCACCACAGCCTGGCCATGTTGTCTTATAAAGAGTTTGGGTTTAGTTTTCCTTAAATTACATGGAACTTATTCATGTTCTTGATAACTATGTCATGTTCTTGATCTCATATACCTTAGTTCTCTGAAATTGATGCCTTTCTGTAGTCTTGCTCATATTGCTTTTGTATTTGACCACCTGGAAGAGTTTCTTTCCTGAATAAACTTAGGGGAGCTGTTGTGTTTGTCTCCTACTGTTTTTAATCACAGTGAAATGTATCTATCACACTGTTATATATGGTAATGTGTCTAGAGAGCAGTCTTGAAATAAGAGTTCTAGGAGTTGCACTGGAGAGATGACTCAGAGGTTAAGAGCACTGGCTGCTCTTCCAAAAGTCCTGAGTTCAATTTCCAGCACCACATGGTGACTAACCATTTATGAGATCTGGTGCCCTCTTCTGGCATGCAGGCATTCATGCAGGCAGAATACTGAATATATAATAAATAAAATCTTTTTTAAACTACTGTCACTAATAATAATAATTCTCAGGAGAGACTAGAACTGCATTGATGAAATCTAGCAATAGCCGGGCGGTGGTGGCACATGCCTTTAATCCCAGCACTCGAGAGGCAGAGGCAGGTGGATCTCTGTGAGTTCGAGACCAGCCTGGTCTACAAGAGCTAGTTCCAAGATAGCCTCCAATGCCACAGAGAAACCCTGTATCGAAAAAGAAAAAAGAAATATAGCAATAAATCAGCACTGTGGCTATTCATAAATTTTGCTTATCATCCCCAGGTTTTGTAATACCATGCTGCTAGATGGAGGACTTGGTTTTGTTTTGTGGGGGTGGGGGTGAGACAAGCTCTCAGTATGTAGCCCTGGGTGGCCTAGAACTCACTGTATAGACCATGCTGGGCTGGAACTCACAGAGATCTACCTGCCTCTACCTTCAGACTACTGTGATTAAAGGCTTGTGTCTGAAAACTGTAAGGTGATAACTGCATTGCTGAAAAGCACTGTAGAATCCTATCTCATTTAGAAGAAAACATTGCTTTTTATTTTTTTTTTATTTTTTTTCGAGACAGGGTTTCTCTGTATTTTGGAGGCACTCCTGGAACTTGCTTTGTAGACCAGGATGGCCTCAAACTCAGAAAACATTGCTCTTTTAAGAAAATTCCTTTTTGTGGTGCTCAAGACTGAACCCAAGGCCTTACATAAGCTAAGCATACTCATTTAATAACCCAAGCTGGCCCCAAACTCGTGATCCTCCTGTCTCAATCTCCCAAGTGTTGGGATTATAGGCATGGATTACCCTGCCTGGGAATTCATTAACAAGGATTTTGTCT